TTTTTTTTTTTGCTTTTTGGGTCACACCCGGCGATGCTCAGGGGTTATTCCTGGCTCATGCACTCAGGAATTACTCCTGGCGGTGCTCGGAGGACCATATGGGATGCTGGGAATCAAACCTGGGTCGGCCATATTGGCTGCATGCAAGGCAAACGCCCTACCCGTTGTGCTATGGCTCCAGCCCTGCTTCCTTCCTATTCTTTTTTATTTTTCCTTTTTTTTTTTTTTTAATATTTTGGGCTACACCTATTGGTGCTAACTTAAAGGCAAGCACCCTATCCTCTGTACTATTACTCTAACCCTGAAAATTACTATAGTTTAACATCGCTAGAATGTTGTTGTTCATAGCTTTGATGTACAAAGTTACTGTACCCCACTACTACCAAACTACCTTCTACCACTATCATATTTCTAGTTTACTCTTCATTCCCCCTCTTACCCACCCCCACCCCTCTGCTTGGTAATTTTTTTTATAATCAAAGATCAAGGTTCTGTCATCAATCCTTTTTTTTTTTTTTAAGATTTTTGAGTCACACCCAGTGATGCTGGTCACATCCAGGTTACTCTTGGCTCTGCACTCAGGAATCACTCCTGGTGGTGCTGGAGTGATATGGGACCATAGAACCATATGGGATACCCGGGATCAAACCCGGGTCTGCCGCATGCAAGGCAAACGCCCTACCCACTCTACTATCACTCCAATCCCTGTCATCAATCCTTTTTATTCCCTCAATTTGCTTCTCTATAAACCAGAAATCGTGAATCACCTTGTATTTGTCCTTCTCCCTCTGAGTTATATTGATAATATGTTCTGCAGTTCCATCCAAGCTACAGCAAACTGAAAGATTTCTTATAGCTGTTTAGTATTCCATTGTATTTATATATCACATTTTCCATTTCATGTCATTGGGTTGTTCTCATATCCTGGATATTGTGCTCAACCTGTAATGAACACAGATGTGCATATATCTGTTGGAGTTAATGTTTTTGTGTTTTGTGGGCAGATGCCAGTAAATGGGATCATTGATTCATATGCTAACTCTTTTTAGAAAAATCTCCATATTGTTTTCCACAGATGTTTGAATAAACAACATACCTACCAACAGTGAATGAGGAGTCTTTTCACATCCCACTAAGACTTTTTATTTTCTCCAATACTTCGTATATATGCCATTCTCATTGAATTGAGATGTGATTTCATTGTTTTGATTTTCATTTCTTTGGTGACAATGAGCACTTTTTCATGTCTATTGGCCATCCATAAGTTCTTTTTAAGTGTCTGTTCATCTCCTTCCCGATTTCTGATGAGGTTATTGGAGGTTTTTTGTTGTTGAGCACTGAGTGCTTTATATATATATATATATATATATATATATATATATATATATATATATAGGCTATTAGACCTTATCAGTGTACTGAATGCAAACATTTTCTGCCACTCAGTGGGGTGTCTTCATTTTAGGCTTCACTTCCTTTTTCCTGTGCAATTTTTTAAATCTAATGTGGTCCTATTTTTGCTTTTGCCAGTGGAGTCAAATAACTGAAAATAACACTGACTTCTGTGTCCTCCTGTGGGCATGTCCTAGTGGTTGGCCGTCTCATCTTGTGCAACAGGTCACCATTTATATGATTTTCCAACTGTGGGGTTCTGTCTATTCATGAACCCAGCATCTTTGTCATAGATAAGCTAATAAATATGAGGGCTTATTTCTGGGCTCTCAATTCTATTCCATTGGTCTGAATAGACTTTTCAGGAACAAAGTTTTAATTACTATGACTTTAAATTCTGGGCTGGAGCGATAGCACAGCAGGTAGGGCACTTGCCTTGCACACACCTGACCCCGGCCGACCCTAGTTCAATTCCTTTGCTCCTCTCGGAGAGCTCGGCAAGCTACCGAGATTATCTTGCCTGCACGGCAAAGCCTGGCAAGCTAACTGTGACATATTTGATATTTCAAAAACAGTAACAAATCTCACAATGGAGACGTTACTGGTGCCCGCTCGAGCAAATCAATTTGAACAATGGGAGAACAATGCTATACAATGCTATGCTAACTTTAAATTACAATTTAAAGTCAGGAAATATGATACCTCCCATCTTTTAAAAAAAATCTTTGGTTATCGAGAACAGATTACTGGTTAAAGAAACTTTGGTACATCTACACGATGGAGTACTATGTCACTGTCACTGTCCTCCCGTTGTTCATTGATTTTCTCAAGTGGGCCCAGTAACGTCTCCATCATGAGACTTTGTTGTTACTGTGTTTGGCATATCGAATACGTCACAGGTAGCTTGCCAAGCTTTGCAGTGCAGGCGAGATACTCTCAGTAGCTTGCCAGGCTCTCCGAGAGGGGTGGAGGAATCGAACCTGGGTCGGCCATGTTGACTGCTTGCAAGGCAAGCACCCTACCCGTTGTGCTATCGCTCCAGCCCCTGGAGTACTGTCACGGTCACGGTCACAGTCCTCCCGTTGTTCATCGATTTGCTCCAGCGGGCCCAGTAACGTCTCCTTCATGAGACTTGTTGTTACTGTGTTTGGCATGGAGTACTATGTAGCTGTTAGAAAAGATGAAGTTATGAAATTTACATACAAGTGGTACTACATGGAAAGTATCATGCTAAGTGAAATGAGTCAGAAAGAGAGGGACAGACATAGAAAGATTGTATTCATCTGGGGAACATAAAGTAACAAAATAGGAAACTGACACCCAAGAATAGCCGAGATAAGTACCCTGGAGGTTTACTCCATGGCTTGGAGGCCAGCCACACATGCTAGGGGAAAAGGCAGTTCAGATAGAGAAGGCAGCACCAAATAAAGGGTGTTGGGAGGATCCTCCCAGGATGGGAGATGCATGCTGAAAGTAGACTATAAACCGAACATGATTGCCACTCAATGCCTCTTTTGCAAACCACAGCACCCAAAAGGAGAGAACAAAAGGGAATGCCCTGCCACAGGGGTGGGGTGGGATGGGGGTGGGAGGGATACTGGGTTCACTGGTGGTGGAGAATGGGCAATGTTGGAGGGATGGGTACTCAATCATTTTATAACTGAAACCCAGGCACCAAAATTTGTAAGTCTACAACATACCTAATAAAAATTTTTTAAAAAATCTTTGGTTATCCAAGGTATTTTATGATTTTATATCAATTTCAGTAGTTTTAAAAATCTATGATATTGAAGCAAGTCATTGATATTTTGATGGAAATTGTACTGAATCTATAAAGCTTTGGGTAGAATAATCATTTTTGACAATGTTAATTTTTCCAATCCATAAGCATGAAATGATTCTCCGTTTCCTGATGTTATTTAATAGTGACAAGAGTTTTCAATGTGTAGATGTTCCATATCTTCGACTCCTAGGTTTCTGACATTTTTGGACACTATTTGAAATGGAGTTGTCTCCTCTTCATAATTTGCCTATAGAAATGCAAGAATTTTATGGGTTGATTTTGTAGCCTATTTTGCTGTACTAGCATATTGTTTTAAGAAATTTTTAGTACAGTCTTCTATGTATATAAATCATGTCATCTGCAAATAGCAAGTCTATCTTCTAATTTGGGTCCCTTTTTCTTGTCTAATTGCTGTTGAGAGCTTTCAAAACTACATTGAGTAACAGCAGAAAAAATGGACATCTTTGCTTTGTCTGGTCACAGAAAGAGGCTTTTTTTGCTGTTAAGTATAATATTGGCGGTGGGCTTGTTGTGAATGGCTGTGACTATCTTGAAGTGCTTTTCTTCTATGCCATTTTTTTTGAGAATTTTTGTGTATGTGTCAAATGTTTTCTTTGCATCAACTGATTAGGTATGACTTTCGTCTTTCCTTCTGCTGATATGGTGCACTCTATTAACTTGTGCATATCGAACCATACTTGCATTCTTGGATTGAAACACTATAAGCAGTAAGAGAATGAATTGGGGAGGAGCAGGGTACCCATGACTTATTCCTGGCTCTGTATTCAGAGATCAACCCAGGTGGTGCTTGGGGGACCATATGGGATACTGAATATTGAATCCAGGTCATTTGTAAGCAAGGAAAGACCATTACCTACTGTACTACTCCGATTTTTTTTTCTTCCAGGACAAAAATTCATTGTCACATCTTTTGTAAATAATACTTGCAGTAATTGCTTTTTTTGGTTACATAAAAGATGAATAAAAGTTTAGAACTGGTTTTCTTCAGAAATGCCACAGCCTTTCTCCAGGTCATAAGCAGAAAGACTCTACAGCAGAGCCCCATTAGCATCCAGACTTCAACTCCTTTTAGTTTTTAGCATGCTTTGAACCATACCTTACTGCCTCCAAGAATCAATGTTGCAAAGAAGCAGTAAGATGGTTGGCACAATAGAATTTGGCTTTATTATATGTACAAAGCAAAGGCTACTTTGCTCCCTGCCATAATTCTCATATATTGTAGTACAAGGATCTACATGTTAAATAGTAAATATAAGAAAGATGAATCTATTTGGCAGAGAACATTGCTTCTCAACCTCTTTCCAACTTTGGCCCCCTGTGACCTTGTGTGCTTCTGGTAGGCATGTCCTTCTGCTTGGCCTTCTCATCTTGTGCAACAGGTCACCATTTATGCAATTTTCCAACTTTGGGTCCGCTTTGAATATCCTAGGCATTCATATAATCTCCAATTGAGAAACACTGGCACAAAAAATGATTCATGTTGGTGTATGTTATTGACCTCTATGACATTCATAAAGTTAAAGAAAAATTGTGGTCAAACGAATTGCTTTGTTTTAGCAGTGCAAGAAATCATATAAAGAAAGCTTTAAAAAAACAATTTTTTGGACAGTATTCCACATGGCAGAGCCTGGCAAGCTCCCTGTGGAGTATTTGATATGCCAAAAACAGTAACAACAAGTCTCACAATGAAGACGTTACTAGTGCCCGCTCGAGCAAATCGATGAACAACGGGACGACAGTGCTACAGTGGACAGTAGAGAACTCTACAAAAAGGTTAGCTGCACTAAATAATTTTAAACTGACATTAGCTTTTAACAATAGATTTCAATATTTTATTTTTCTTGATGATCAGGATCTTTTCTCGGTATATTCAATTAATTTTACAACACTGAATAAGATGCTAGAGCATAAAAAGTCAAGTTACATTATTTTGAAATTTTAGGGGTAAAGGCAGTCACTTATCTAAATAAACAATGTTACAATAATCAAATTCTGCATACAAAAGTATACTTGTTCTTTCATATTTCAAATGTGAATGTTCTTTGACAGAAAAATTCCATTTTTTCCTGCATATGTCTGGATACATAAGTAAAGGGGAACTTTTGGATTGTAGAATGTAGCTACTGTGTGGGGGTAAACAGAAAATAATGTACATTAAGAAATTAACTTTCCTACTCATGAATTTTCATAAGAAAACTGATGATAAATTATCTTCAACATGATGATGGTGACTAAAGCAAAACTACAGAGTGTATGATATTTTCAGTTCTTATTTGGCACATCTATTGATATATTTTCAAACCTCAAACAATATCATATCTTACTAAAACCAACTAATACAATGGTGATTTCTGAAATTATTGAACATCATGAAAAACCTAATTCCAAAATGAATTCTGTAATCCAGCATTCCCTCTGTGATATGCAAGCTGGTGCAAGCATTGTCTATTTCAGGACTCTCCAGAATTCATGAATATTTCAAAGGTAATGCACGCTGACCCTCACAACTCCTTGCTGAATTTGGTGGATCTTCTGAGCACGACCTCATTTATGATAACAGATGTACAACTCATCACAATTTTGAAAAGAATGGCAGACCTTCATACATGTCAGTTTTTAGTTTTATCCAATCATTGATTTTCTGTAGGGTTGTTTTTTCTTGGCTTAATATTTTTGCAAGCTTTTTCATTTTTTCTTCATTTCTTTCTATGTACTTTAACCCTTCCAGCTGCAGCTGATCCAGCTTTTCATTTCGACTTTCATCTAGAGGTATATTTTCACACATTACAGGATTAAATCTGAAATAGGTATCAGGTGGTAACAGACCATCAAGTATCACATGGACTTCTGTAAAAATAAACAGAGAGGACAGGGTGGGTTAGAAAACAAAGTTAATCCTTCAGTTATCTATATTATTTTTACTTAAAACTATTGTCTTTTAGGGCAAATGACATAGCCTTGTTTATTTCATGACTGCACCTAATTAACAGTGAAAATAAGAACTGTATAACATCTCAGAACCCAGCAGCTTTTGGCAGAAATGCATCCAGACTTTGGATTAAGCTACAGCGCAGTGCCACCCCAGGTGAGAAAAGGCGTCCCTTCCACCTTTTCCTCCTGGCGGCATGGTGGCTGCCATCTTTCAGAGTCTACGGGACAGCCAGGTACAAGACGGCAGTGACGAGACGCAGAGGACCTCACAGGATGGGGAGGTGGAACAGGCCCTTCTTCCCCCACCCCGACAATACCCCGAGTCATGCCCACAAATGGCAATTTATCTAGCTCCTTAATGGCCATGATCCCAGACACACACAAATCAATCTCGGAACCCATCAGCTTTTGGCAGAAATCCCTCCAGACTTAATTACTAAAATATCAAAATTCCAAAATTGTGCAGCCGTAACAGCGGCCGCACAACATTATATGCTCTTCATAATCAGCAACAGAAAACAAATTATCTAATGATGCCTTTTCAGCAGGTCTGATTGTTGGGGGAAAATTCCAAATAATGGTGGGTCTTTTGTCGAAATACTGAACGTAATCAAAGAAGAGAGAGAATAAAGTAGAAATCATCTGCCACACAGGCAAGGGGGAGGGGTGGAAAGGGGGTATACTGGGGTTCTTGGTGGTAGAAAATGTGCATGGGTGAAGGGATGGGTGTTTGATCATTGTATGACGGAGACTTACACCCGAAAACTTTGTAACTATTCTCATGGTGATTCAACAAATAAATAAATACATTAACAATAAATATGGCTACAAAATACACACCTCCCAAAGCAATCGGAGAGGTTTTGACAAACAGTCCTGACATAGGACATCTTTGGAAAATTTCTTCACACAGGCTAGGAAGACAGCTCACATGAGAAAGCACATGGCAGAGCTCTATGCTGATCTCCACACCACACATACCCTGAACATCGCTGGGTGTAGTCCTGCTGCTCAACCTACCTCCTACATTACCAGGCTTGAGCATCAAATCATCAGCTTTGGAGCTCTAGCCAAGCATTGCTAAGAGTGGCCCTGACATAAAGAAAAGTCCCTTGGTGTGTCTTTTCTAGTCACCTTTTCTAGAATTCCAGAAGAAATAAAAACTGTGTTGAATTTTCTTGGCACGATGCTTTTGAGATTCATTATGTTGTCACCCTAGTAATAGAAGTTGCTTATGTGGCCAGAAAGAGAGCCACAGGATCAGTGCATGCAGAGAAGGCTCAGGAATTATCCTAGCACCACTGGCAGAGAACCCCCCCCCACCCCCCGCCAACCACTGCTATGTGGCCCCAAAGCCAAAACAAATAAGTTTCTTTTTTATTACGGAATAGTATTCAATTGTATAGATATGCTACAATTTGTTTTCCATCATTCTTGTTCTCTTGAGTCTTAGCTATTTGGAATGTGGTGACCACTGAAATTTTATTGGTGTGTGGGTTTATGTGTGGCTTAGTTTCTTTAAATATAGATATCTCATGGTTGTCCCAGTACAATTTGTTGAAAAGATTTCTCCTTTCTTTTGTGAAATCTTTTGCCAAAACTCTTTCAAACTTTTATGCATAGACCATTTGCTGTACTCTTATGGGCTGGAGCGATAGCACAGCGGGTAGGGCGTTTACCTTACACGCAGCCAACATGGCCACCCGAGTTCGATTCCTCCTCCCCTCTCAGAGAGCCCAGCAAGCTACTGAGAGTATCTTGCCCGCATGGCAAAGCCTGGCAAGCTCCCCGTGACGTATTCACTATGCCAAACACAGTAACAACAAGTCTCACGATGGAGACATTACTGGGACCGCTTGAGCAAATTGATGAACAACGGGAGGACCGTGACCGTGACCTATTATGTGCCACTGTTCTCTTACTACGCAAATACCATAGTTCGTTGCTTACTGTTGTTTTGTTTTTAATCTTGAAGTGAGAGGGTATTAGCCTTCAAATTTTGTTCTTTTTCAAAACTGTTTGGACTAGGTAGATGCTGCCCAAGCCCATGTGCTACTTCTGTCCACGTGGCTGAGCACATATGGTGCCTAAGCACATGTGGTGCCTGCATCTCTCTGCTTGATGTGTACTTTCATGTTTTCAAGTCTAATGCTGGGGTGTATAGGGAACTCTGTCTCTGGAGAAACCCGTTCCCCCTTGAGTGTACTGATCTCTCACTTTCTCTCCTCCCCACTCCCTTCCTAAAAGACTCCCAATAAAATCTGTTTTACCTCAAAAAAAAAAAAAACCCAAAATTGTTTGGACTATTGTTGTTTTTTGGGTCACACCCAGTAATGCTGAGGGATCACTCCTGGCTCTGCACTCAGGAATTACTCCTGGCTGTGCTCAGGGGACCATATGGGATGCTGGGAATCGAACCTGGGTCAGCCACGTGCAAGGCAAACACCCTACCCGCTGTGCTATTGCTCCAGTCCTGTTTGGACTATTTTAAGTCACGGTCCTCCCGTTGTTCATGGATTTGCTCTAGCGGGCCCAGTAACATCTCCGTTGTTACTGTATTTGGCATATTAAATACATCACGGGTAGCTTGCCAGGCTCTCTTGCCGTGCGGGCGAAATATTCTTGGTAGCTTGCCGGGCTCTCTGAGAGGGGCGGAGGAATCGAACTCGGGTCGGCCATGTTGGCCGCTTGTAAGGCAAACGCCCTACCCGCTGTGCTATCACTCCAGCCCTATTTTAAGTATTTATCATAATTATTAAAATTTCTATCATTCTGTATTTGGATTTGGATTTTTATCTGGTTTGGATTTTTATGGTTAATGGTATTAAAGTCTATGGGTCAATTTATGATCTGTTACTAAGACAGTAAGTTAATAAGCAAAGTGTATTTATATTTTTGTGCCACACCCAGTGGTGCTCAGGGGCTATTCCTGGCTTTGCACTTAGGAGTGATTCCTGGAGGTGCTCGGGGAACATATGGAGTGCTGGGGATTCATACAGCATTGGCCACATGCAAGGCAAGTGACTTAATTCCTGTCTTCTGCTCCAACAGTGTTTGCTTACTGACTTACTTAGGCATTTAGAAATTTATTTCTGCATACTAACAGGTCTGAAATACGATGGGCCAATGATTAAATACATTTCAGTTGAAATATGTCTTTGTTTTGCTTTGGGGTCACAACCAGGGTTGTTTAGAGCTTATTGCTGGCTCTATGCTCAGGGATCACTTCTGGCAGGGCTCAGGGGGCCATTATGTGATGTAAAGAACAAAACTTGGGTCAGTAACATGAAAATCAAGTGCCCTACCCACTACAGTACCTCTCTGACCCTGAGAGACAGCTTTTAAAAGGTGGTGTTGTTGTTGTTTTTTTAAATCAAAGTTACAAATGGAATAACACTAAGACATTCACCAGCATCTTCTCTTCCTGGAGAAAAGTGTGTTTTGTAGTCTTAGGATTACTTCAGTTAGATTCCTGCCAATGACTCACGAACTATGGAAGAGTAGGTAGAAATTAGTTAAGCAAAAAAGGGGGCTAGAAAAAGAGCACTTTTAGTAAGAGGAAAACGTGCAAGAAAATCAAAGTCAAGAGAATGCGGCTCATTCAGAAAAATGCAAGTAATTTAGGAAAATCTACAAGGGGTGGCAATATGAAACCAATCCTGTATCCTGATGAACCCTACTTGGCTATATCTTTTTTTCCATTTTAAATATTTTTGTATTGCTAAACACATTTATTAGTATACTTTAAACATTTCTTTGTGCATATAACAGTAGGGATACTGATAAATTTTCTGGTTTTTATCATTTTTCCTGGATTTGGTATCAAGATTACACTGCCCTTCCAGAGTAAGCTGGGAGTATTTACTCCTATTTTCTGCATATCTGTGTAGAATAGCTATTAATTATATCAACTGTATTTTTCAATTCACATTGTACTTATTTATTGAAGTTTGATTTGGATCCTATTTACACGTTCCATTTCTTTTCTCACTGCTCCTTTTTTATGTCTTTCCATTTCTCATTAAACATATTCTTCAAAAGCTACTATAAAGTCCTTATCTATTCTATCTTTAAGTTTCATATTTAAACTGTTCTCATTGAGTGTAGTTTTTTTCTTGGTAAGGAGTAGCTTTTTTTCTTTGATGCCGATTCTTTTTTTATCAGGTGTTCAAATGCTGTAAATTTTTTACTTCAGTGTGCTAGAATTTCCTGTCTTTAGCTATTTGTGTATGTTGTTCTAACCAGGGATGCTATTAACTGGGTTCAACTGGACATTTGTGGCATTATTTATGAATCGTGTTAAGATGGATCCAGAGCCATCTTCAGTCTACAATTTGTTGTTGTAATTGAACACCTTTCTGAAAACTCAGTATTATAATATCTTACTTAGGAGCTTAGATTTAGCCGAAGAGAAGGACTACATGGAGGGCGGGATCCACAGATCCCGAAGGAAAAAAAAAAAAAACAGGTTCCAAAAAGAGCCGAGATCATCGGGAAGTCCCAGATGGGGTAGGTACCGCATCCCGCCTCCCCCAGATGGAACCCCGGTGACCAGAAACCTCTACAAGCACAGCTCGAGTATGCGGGAACTAGGACTTTTCCTCAAAAATGCCGGGACTACACCTCCCAGGTAACCTCAGATTCCGGAAGTCACGCCCACAGCCCGCCCCCCAGCGCCATCTTGACAGCATTTAGCCGAAGAGAAGGACTACATGGAGGGCGGGATCCACAGATCCCGAAGGGAAAAAAAAAAAAAACCAGGTTCCAAAAAGAGCCGAGATCATCGGGAAGTCCCAGATGGGGTAGGTACCGCATCCCGCCTCCCCCAGATGGAACCCCGATGACCAGAAACCTCTACAAGCACAGCTCGAGTATGCGGGAACTAGGACTTTTCCTCAAAACCGCGCGGCCGCTTATGCGGCCACGCGACATCTCTCTATATACAAAGTGATACATGGGAAGTAAACCACCTAACGTTTCTCTCTGAAAATCATAGTTAAGCTTTGAGCACAGCCACAGCCCCAGAAACACAAGTACTTAATGCATAACCCAGCAGCTTGGAGCAGAAAAGTGAACGGGTTATGTGTTAACCCAGGCCATCAAGTCTGCCAGAGGGGAAAGGGTGTTGGTCCCTTCCGCCCTCCTCCCTCTGGAAAGAAAGGTGGCGGCCACATGGGAGCCTTGTGGACAGCAGGTATGTGCCAGGGGTGAGGGGGCGACTAAAACCTCATGGGAAGGGGGGCGTTCCGGTCCGTCCTTCACGCCCTACCGAGGCCACCAGTTGCCCCCCACGAGCGGCTCTACAGCACAGCCACAGCCCCAGAAGCACAAGGACTTAATGCAGAACCCAACAGCTTGGAGCAGAAAAGTGAACGGACTATGCGTTAATCCAGGCCATCAAATCTGCTGGAGGGGAAAGGGTGTTGCCCCATTCGCCCTCTCCTCTCTGGAAAGAAAGATGGCGGCCACATGGGAGCCTTGTGGACAGCAGGCATGAGCCGGGGGAGCGGGGGCGACTAAAACCTCATGGGAAGGGGGGCGTTCCGGTCCGTCCTTCACGCCCTACCGAGGCCACCAGTTGCCCCCCACGAGCGGCTCTCCAGCACGGCCACAGCCCCAGAAACACAAGGATTTAATGCAGAACCCAACAGCTTGGAGCAGAAAAGTGAACGGACTATGCGTTAATCCAGGCCATCAAATCTGCTGGAGGGGAAAGGGTGTTGCCCCATTCGCCCTCTCCTCTCTGGAAAGAAAGATCGCGGCCACATGGGAGCCTTGTGGACAGCAGGCATGAGCCGGGGGTTGGGGGCGACTAAAACCTCATGGGAAGGGGGGCGTTCCGGTCCGTCCTTCACACCCTACCGAGGCCACCAGTTGCCCCCCACGAGCGGCTCTCCAGCACGGCCACAGCCCCAGAAGCACAAGGACTTAATGCAGAACCCAGCAGCTTGGAGCAGAAAAGTGAACGGACTATGCGTTAATCCAGGCCATCAAATCTGCTGGAGGGGAAAGGGTGTTGCCCCATTCGCCCTCTCCTCTCTGGAAAGAAAGATCGCGGCCACATGGGAGCCTTGTGGACAGCAGGCATGAGCCGGGGGTTGGGGGCGACTAAAACCTCATGGGAAGGGGGGCGTTCCGGTCCGTCCTTCACACCCTACCGAGGCCACCAGTTGCCCCCCACGAGCGGCTCTCCAGCACGGCCACAGCCCCAGAAGCACAAGGACTTAATGCAGAACCCAGCAGCTTGGAGCAGAAAAGTGAACGGACTATGCGTTAATCCAGGCCATCAAGTCTGCCAGAGAGGAAAGGGTGTTGGTCCCTTCCGCCCTCCTCCCTCTGGAAAGAAAGGTGGCGGCCACATGGGAGCCTTGTGGACAGCAGGTATGAGCCGGGGGTGTGGGGGAGACTAAAACCTCATGGGAAGGAGGGCGTTCCGGTCCGTCCTTCACGCCCTACCGAGGTCACCAGTTGCCCCCCACGAACGGCTCTCCAGCACGGCCACAGCCCCAGAAGCACAAGGACTTAATGCAGAACCCAGCAGCTTGGAGCAGAAAAGTGAAAGGACTATGCGTTAATCCAGGCCATCATGTCTGCCCGGACGGGAAAGGGTGTTGGTCCCTTCCGCCCTCCTCCCTCTGGAAAGAAAGGTGGCGGCCACATGGGAGCCTTATGGACAGCAGGTATGAGCCGTGGGTGTGGGGGCGACTAAAACCTCATGGGAAGGGGGGCGTTCCGGTCCGTCCTTCACGCCCTACCGAGGTCACCAGTTGCCCCCCGCGAGCAGCTCTCCAGCACGGCCACAGCCCCAGAAGCACAAGGACTTAATGCAGAACCCAGCAGCTTGGAGCAGAAAAGTGAAAGGACTATGCGTTAATCCAGGCCATCATGTCTGTCCGGAGGGGAAAGGGTGTTGCCCCAGTCGCCTTCTCCTCTCTGGAAAGAAAGATGGCGGCCCCATGGGAGCCTTGTGGACAGCAGGTATGAGCCGGGGGAGTGGGGGCGACTAAAACCTCATGGGAAGGGGTCGTTTCGGTCTGCCCTTCACGCCCTACCGAGGCCACCAGTTGCCCCCCACTAGCGGCTCTCCAGCACGGCCACGACTCCAGAGCACAGAAACCAATTTCTTAACTATCTGACTTTCAGTATAAATACTTCCAGGGTCAATAAGTAAAATAGCAGAAATCCAAAACCAACATTTAATTCTTGAACCCAGCTGTAGAAAGCAAATCACGTCACAATGCTTTTTCAGCATGTCTGATTTGGGGGGGGGGGGTAAACTCTAAATAATAGTGGTGAATCTTTTATTGAAACAATGAATCTAATCAAAGCAGATAGAGTGTTAACTAGAATTCATCTGCCCCACAGGGAATGGGAGGGGTGGGGGGTGGGGTTTTATTGGGGTTCTTCATGGTAAAAAAAAAAGTATTGGTAAAGGGAAATGTGTTTGATATTTGCATGACTGAGACCTAAACCTGAAAGCTTTGTAACCTTTCCCAAGGTGATTCAATAAATAAAAAAAATAAATTAAAAAAAAAAAAAAAGGAGCTTATGGAACTGGGCCTGGGCACTGTCTAAGCTCCAAGAACTTTCTTGTCTAATCCTTTCTGGTGGTTCTTTAACTGGTCTTGGGTAAATTTCTTACATGCAAGTGAGATCAGTATTCAAAGGACTGTATTTATGGAACATTCTCTGTGAAACTACCTCCTCTATATTATTTTGCCCACAAATTCTAGTTTCCTTTTAGCTTTCTTGAACTCTGTTCCTAAACTCTAGGAGACTGTCCAGCTTGGGGGGGAGGGGGACTCCCTTTCCTGTGCTACCATCCAAGATGGGCAATTATAGTGATTATTTTTTTCCTTTCAGAAGCACTACTGTGCCACCTGTCATTTAATGTCTAAGAAACCAGTCTTTTGCCCAGCTTTCTAATGGTTCAGAGGGAAAGAGAATAAATGGTTCGTATCATGTGTTTATCTGAACCAAGTTCACCCCCTTTTCATTTCCCTGTTTCTTAAATGGCTCAAGAGTCTCTAACCAGGGGACAGAGCGATAGTACAACAGGTATTTGCCTTGCACATGGCTCACCAAGGTTTGGTTCCCTGCAACCCATATGGTCCCCCAAGAACCGCCAAGAGTTGATTCCTGAGTGCAGAGCCAGGAGGAACCCCTGAACACTGCTGGGGGGGGGGAAGGGAGGGAAGGAGGGAGAGGGGAGGGGAGGGGAGGGAAGGAGGGAGAGGGGAGGGAGAGGGGAGGGAGAGGGGAGGGGAGGGGAGGGAAGGGGAGGGGAGGGGAGGGGAGGGGAGGGGAGGGAAGGGAAGGGAAGGGAAGGGAAGGGAAGGGAAGGGAAGGGAAGGGAAGGGAAGGGAAGGGAAGGGAAGGGAAGGGAAGGGAAAGACTCTCTAACCAGGCCTGAGTCTGTTCTGCATAGGGGATTTTTCAACTAGCTCCAGGTAAAGAACGGTCTAATCTAGGACAGGACTTCTTGAAACTTGTGCCTTTCATAGCCCCTTTTTTTCTGGAGAAATTTTTACACAAACAGGGTGCTGTACAGGCCTCACATTTAACTGATGATAAATCATCACGAAATTTACTGAAACCAGAACATGTTTTAAGTTCCATAACCTCCTATGGAGTTGTGGTTCACAGCTGAAGCACGGATCTAGAGTTACTTGGAAGAAGTGAATGAGGAGAAAAGAGAAACAACTCAAGACTTGCTTCCACGTGTGCAGCTTCCTGAGCCCATAATGTGGACACAATTAGGTCTCCTAGAGCCAGCACCTTCAAATTAGGGAAAATGATGCAATGCTGGGAGTGATAGTCCCCTCCAGCAGCAAACAACTAGACTGACCTTCAGTGTCTGTCGCGCTGTTGATGACGTTGGCCAGTTTGGTCTTCAAGCTCGTTTGTGTCACATTGTTCCTCACATCACTCTCGTAGCGCCCAGTGCCCAGGGATACTATGCACTCTAAGGGGACATCAGGCCAGAGACATTTACACTCGTGCATCGCTAATGCTGATGGGTTATTCAGAAGCAAACCTCCATCCTGCAAAACAGAAGTTAAAAAAAAAATAGATATAGAAGACTTAAAAGTGAAGCTTTATTTCCCAAATATAAACAAAGTTTTATTTTAATCTGAAATGCTGTCACAGGGAAAATTGTACTACACAGTAAGTTGGCCAAATAATAATAATAATAATAATTATTATTAGTAGTATAATAAAAGACATCCTTTAAGGTGACTTTATTTCATATATGAGACTGCAAAACCATGAAAATTTACGAGGCTCACTAAAAAAATTCAAATAGACTTTCTTTTCTTTTTATGAAATTTCTCTGACCATCATGTGTTGTTCTGCATATGCTGTTCACAATACTGAAATGAATTACTTTTAAAACTAGAGTTCTTGTTTAGTGGCTTAACACTGAACCTAAATAAGTCTAATATAAGAGAGGTGACTCAACCAAATAATTCATTCTTTAATAATTCACATATAATCAAGTTTCAACAAATTTAATTCAAAATTTTATTTAAATTTACCAAAATTTATTCATTATAAATTCAAAATTTCAAAATTTTAAATTCAAATTCAAAATTTTATTTTATTAATTCAACATTGTACTCAAAATATATTTGTAATTATAAAATTAATAAATTTCACAAAAATTTATCAAATTAGTTGAATTTATTAAATTTCAACTAATTTAATTCAATATTTATAAGAATTTTATTAATTATAAATATTATTTATAATTCTTAATAAAATTTTCAATTAAATTAGTTGAAACTTGACATGTAAATTATAAAAATTATTCAAAGTATCACAATTTTAATAGATATAAAGTAGGCAAACTTTGTAAATATTTACCTATAATCAGTATCATTTTGAACAATTCAAAAGAATGATGCACTGATAAAGCCACACTTATACAAAGCACCCTACAAATGTCACTGTCCTCCCGTTGTTCATCAATTTGCTCAAGCGGGCCCAGTAACGTCTCCATTTTGAGACTTGTTGTTACTGTGTTTGGCATATTAAATACATCACGGGTAGCTTGCTAGGCTTTGCCATGCGGGCGAGATACTCTTGGTAACTTGCCAGACTCTCGAGAGGGGTGGAGGAATCGAACCCGCCTCGGCCAGGCTGGATGTGCACAAGGCAAATGCCCTACCACTGTGCTATTGCTCCAGCGACTCTACAAACGTAGTCTAATAAAAGCACAAAACCAGTAAGGACTACCTGAAATAACTCTCACCTGCTATTAGTGTTCTCATTCCATTTTGAGATGCTATAGATTACTTGATAATATGCAGTTCTATAAAGTCCAAATCTCCTTCTCACTAATTTTTATCTATTAGCTCCAGAATTGTTCTTCTGATTAAGGATGGGAACTATTTTTTGCCCATGGCCATTTGCATTTGGATATTCCTAACACCTTTTGCAGGTCATAAAAAACAGAGAACTGGGCCACAGATAGCTAAGAAGCACATGTACCTGTCCCATCATGTACCAGAGCCAGACCTTGTGACTTTGTGTGGCTTACACAGCATGTGCACTGGACACTCCCCACCCAGAACACATTCCTGATTATTAGCGTTTTTAAGAATGAATGACATTATTGCTTTCATGCCCTTGTACATGTTTTCATCTCTCTCAAAATGGTCTTCTCTAGCCGCTTCTTGGCTTTACTAATTCTCACCTATTCTTCAAAAACGTGGTTTAAGAGGATTTTTTTGTATTTTTTGTGTTTTTGCCTTCCTAGTAACCACTTTACTGAAATAATCCTAATACAGGGTAGGAAACACGTATTTCTGCTAGAAGATAATACATATCCCAACGTCTTAGTGTTTCCACATTTGTGAGGAGCTCTCTCTCTCTCTCTACACACACACACACACACACACACACAAACACACACACATTGTTCTTTTAGAAGACACGTCCTTTCAAAAGTAGCAGAATTAATCACACGCCCATCATATTTTAGGCTTTGACTCTTCATAAATGCCCCTTGGTGGCTGTGATGTGCTTCATTTGGGACTGTCTTTGAAACTTAGAGACTGCAGAAGGCATGTCTGCAATTAGATACAGGACTAGGACAGAAAAAAATCATGAGGAGAGTGGGTACAAATCATTTCCCTATGGTAGTAGGTCTTCCAAGAACTGTGAAACCTCTTGCTGTCTATGCTGACAAAGAATTATTTGTTTCTGAGGCAGACCGAGGAAAACAGTAGCATATGTGCTACCACCATATTTATCTTTATAATTCTATGGAACTAAATTTTATAATATAGGAAACATTACAGAATTATAGTTACATTTTTGTTCAACTCAACAAAGGTAGAACAAATGATCATCATCCTAAATAAATATACCATGTGCAGCAAAAGACTGTGAGACAAGGGTCTTGTCTGATACTAAGCAAAGCGCTTTTAGATAATTCATTACAGACAGCAACTTGTGTCCACTCTATGTAAGCCCATTGGGCTTACATAATGAGTGCAATTCTGTAGACTGCTCTTCTTGTGAAGCAGATGAACTGAGACTCTATTTGCTTGAACCAAGCAACATGAGTGGACCAAGTTTTTAATGCCACCCGATTCACTGTCCTCAAAGAATCAGCAGGACTTAAGTGCATATGTTCCAAACTTCACTGTGCCTTGTTCCCGTTATGGCACTCAAATCTTTGTGCATCGATGCTGTTGACAGAACCTCTTTATTCCCCCCAGTCCATTCCAAACCTTTTCACTGTTCTTTTATTCCCATGAGAATTCCCAACATAGTAATTCTTTCTTCTCATAGTATACTTTTCTGGTGGGGGGGGGGGGGGGAGTGGTCCCTTTCCTGACATCATTTCCTGATATCAGATCCTTGTCAATTCTTTCACCCCTTATATTGCCTTCATGGTTAGGAGAGGGGAAGGTTTCTAATGTTCCCAAGACTACACTTCTCAACTGGGGCAGTATGGGTCGCCCTGGAGAGAGAGTCATGGGTAAAAATTGAGGAATGGAGGGCTATGGCATGCAACTCAGGAGCCATCCATAGGACAGGAGTGGCCATGGGGAAGAAACAAGATATCATGGTTAGAGAAAAAAAATTTTTTTTAAAAAGCTGAGGAACACTATTCTAGATCGACTAGCACCAATCTAACTTGGAAAATTCACGGACTTTTAAAACTGCTATTGAGCTGTCACCTATAAACCATTTAGTAAACGCTCATGAAAGAAATTAGTCAGCATCTCACTCACACAGACTCTATCACATGTACAAAGGAGGTAAGTTTTTTTAATTTCATCCTGTGTGCTCCACATCTTTACAAACAGTTCTTCAAACCTCACAGTTTCCAAAGCTATTCTTTCATTTCCAAGGTCACATGGCAGTTCTTGTTTCCAAAATAAATGAAATTATATAGTAGAATCTTTAGAGTCTGGTTATTTTCACCTAGAATAATGCTTCTGAGATCCATCCACTTCACTGCAAATGTCAGTAATTCTCCTTTATATTGCTGAGAATATTCCATTATTCAGATGTATCACACTCTGTTTATCCATTCACCAGCTGAAAGAAACTGGTTTAAAATTCAGCTACCTTTATGTTTCTGTTGCAAGTCATTCGTCGATTAGGTACTTATACTGGTTAGTTTTTAAGTATACACTTGGTTTCCCTAAATTTAGGTATTGATAACTGCAGTATTTCCTAAAGACCTCGTGTACAAATTTTAATTTAGTCCTTTCAACCTTTTTCTTATTTTCAAGTAACAAGTAAAATATTCTATAACAGAGGCAACATATTATACTTCATATCTAGCAAAATAACTACCATCTTATTTTTTCTTTGTGGAGAAGGAAGGCTTGGGCAATACACAGTGGTGCTTAATGGTCCTCGTGAAGGTGCTTGGGGGAGCCGTTATGAGGTGCCAGGGATTGAACATGAACCAGCCAAAATAAAAGGCAAATGTCTTAACTCCTGTGCTCTCTGCCCCTATGAATAGTTAATTTTCATTAAACTATTTACCTGAAATTGTACACATTACTCAAATAATCATCTAAATATTTTAAATGAAAACTACCACTATTATAAAAGTCTATAAAGATGATCAGAGAAAACACATCACCATTATCCCACTTTTTACACCCAGGACAAAAATCTATAATGTGCATGTTTATTTTAGGGCCATACCCAGTGATAGTGGTGTTTGAGGAACCATATGAGATGCTGGAGATTGAACCCAGTGACCCCAGGTCAGCGACATGCAGGGCAAGTGCCTCAGCTGCTGTACTGTCACTCCAGCCTCAGAAATCTACAATCTTTAAGCACTCACTCACTATCCAGTCTTTCTTCTCCATACTGTTTCTATCTTAACTAACTTCTTTATTTAGATAACGTACATGGAAAAGGTCTTTATTAGGGTAAAGCCAACTCTAATGAAGTAAAATATAACTTCTATACTTCTACTTAATGCTAAACATATTTTTTTTATTTATCATCTTATTCTATCACTGTTTATATGGTTCTTCATTTGAGTTAGTTGAGGTAGGATTCAAGAAACACAAATTTACCAGCTCTTATCAAAAATCTTTATATCCTTTACAGAAAAAACAATGAGGCGCTGAGAGAAATTTTGTATTATTGTTTTGTTATGGGCTGGAGCCATAGCACAGTGGGTAGGGGTCTGTCTGCCTTGTACGCGGCCGACCCGGGTTTGATTCCTCCAGCTCTCTCGGAGAGCCCATCAAGCTACCGAGAGTATCTCGCCCGTACAGCAAAGCCGGGCAAGCTCCCCGTGATGTATTCAATATGCCAAAAACAATAACAACAAGTCTCATAATTTTTTGTGAGACGATACTGGTGCCCACTAGAGCAAATCGATGAACAACTGGAAGACAGTGACAGTGTTCTGTTCTGATGAAACTTATTAGTTGTGTCCTGGATCAGCATAATTTGGCAGGAACTATTCAGGTTCTTCCCCCTAAAAACACTGGAACATATGTGAAAAACTGTAACTCCAATCAGATTGATTAATTCCTAGTTTGAACATAACCTTTGAAAATGTAAATAAGGTCCAGGAGAAAAAAAACATTAGAATGTGTCATCAAAACGTTTAGTGCCAACTAATTTTTCAGGCTCTTTCTACATGACAGGAAATGAATTATTAATTTCGGAGGCAGAGGTGGAAAAAGATGAAAGGCAAATTGTTGGGGTTGGAGCAATAGAACAGTAGGCAGGGCCTTGCACACAGTCAATCCAGGGTTGATCCCTGGCATCCCATATGGTCCCCTAAGCCTCCCAGGAGTAGTTCCAGTACAGAGCCATGAATAAGCCCTGAGAAAGTGTGACCCCCAAACCAAACAAATGAAAAAGGTTTATGTTCAAATTCATCAAATTATATAATCAACAAGTACACAGTCTATTAATTATGCATAAATCTCAGATATATCTCAATAAAGCTGTTAAAAAGAGGAAAATTATGCTTATAAAGTGTGGAAGCACCCTTTCAAGATAAATATGGGAATAGGGGTTGGTGGTAGGGGTGGGGGTAGGAGCAAAAGATTGGAAGCACCTTACACTTCCTACTCTATATAACTTTCTAGAACAAATCATGCAAATACTGTCAGAATACTTTTACAAAGAGAAGTGAAATGCATCCTATCTACTTGACCTCTTAAAGACAAACAAGCTTTCAGAAGCTGCTCAAGCAGAATTTGAATGTATAATTTATATTCAGTTCCAAAAAGAATGAAGTAAGTTCCACTAAAAAAATGTATCTGAGAAAACAGAGACTTTTTTTTTCTTTTTTCTTTTTTTTATTTAGCTTTTTGGGTCACACCCGGCGATGCTCAGGGGTTACTCCTGGCTTTGCACTCAGGAATCACTCCTGGCGGTTCTCGGGGGACCATATGGGATGCTGGGAATCGAACCTGGGTCAGCCGCATGCAAGGCAAATGCCCTATCCGCTGTGCTATTGCTCCAGCCCTTAGAGGAGACTTTAAAAATTAGACTGGGGCAGGGGAGATATACAGCAGGTAAGAACCCTGCCTTGTGTGTAGCTGACCCAGGTTTGATCCTAGGCACAACATATAATCCCTTGTGCTCATCAGGAATGATCCATGACAATAGAACCAGGAGTAAACCCCGAGTAACTCTGAGTATGCACCCCTCACCCAAAATAAATGAGACTGGAAATATACTGAGCATTATTACTCAAATAACAGGATAAGAAAGCTGCAATAATTAAAGAGTTATAATTGAAAACTTCTTGGCAACTTCTGAAGGTTTGGAAAGAAACTTTGAGAAAATAATCAAGATCATTCATACCTTAAAATATTATCATCAAAAAAAATTTTTTTTTTGGTTGCTTTTTTGGTCGCACCCAGCGATGCATAGGGTTTACTCCTGGCTTTGCACTCAGGAATTATCCCCGGCGGTGCTCAGGGAACTGTATGGGATGCTTGGAATTGAACCCGGGTCGGGCCACGTGCAAGGCAAACTCCTTACCCTCTGTGCTATCACTCCAGCCCCTACCATCAATCTTTGAAGGTATCTTTTGAGGGAGGAAAAAAATCTCATTTGTGGGGCTGGAAAGATAGTATACAGTGGGCAGGGCATTTGCCTTACATGTAGTCAACCTGGGTTCGATCCCTGTCGCCCCATAGGATCCCCCAAGACTGCCAGAAGTGATCCCTGACTGCAGAGCAAGGAGTAAGCCCTGAGCACAGCCAGATGTGGCCCCAAACCAAACAAGTACCATTTGTTCTTCAAGCACTAGAATATATATATATATATATATACTTACAGAGATTTGCCTAAACTTAAAATCCCATATGAATATTTTTATCAAGGGACCAGAAAGATAGTTCAATAGGAGGCCCAGGCTTGATCCCTGATATTGCAAGGTTCCTCAAGTTCAACTGCCAGTACAGTTTGGTTCCGTTGGCACAACCAGGAGTGACCCTCTCAAACAGTTAGCAAGGGGTAGCCCTCATGGAGGAATGCTATACATCTATGGGACAGAATTTAACAACCTTAGAATGACTTCCTCTTGGACAAAGAATAAATGAATAACTGAGATGGCCTCTTGAATATTTGGTGCCAAAATGCAGTAATTTTTCATTTGAGATTTTCCCTAATATTTAACACATTTGCAACTGTGCAGCATGAAAACTATCTATTAGTTATAATCTTAACTAATATATTTTGAATACATTCTCTATTTATGACATCTGAGAACACAGCCAATATAGACAAATAATTATTAAGAACAGTAAATTACATATTAAATAAATTTATTTTGACTGCTAAGTCTTGAAATCAGTTCAAAAGGAAAGAGCTCAGCTAGCAGTTTCTGTCCTGAGGGTGTGGAATAAAAATGTGAAAAGCTAAGAGGGAAAGCGACTCACATATTTATTTCAACAATGATTGATTTATCAAAGAGAGTTTGAAATGGCTGCAAAGGAACCCCACTTTAATCTCTTACTATATTACTTCTAGAAAGAAATGGAATAGTTGACCAGAACATGTTAAAATATATCTAGCTACCACCAGAAAATATAGCAAAAAAATCTGACAAAGATGTTTTTTATTATCACTTGCAAATTATGACCAATTAATGTATAATTTTCATAGATTTATGAGCTTTTAAATCATACTTGAAAATCCTTGTTATAAATACTTGTCTTTTTCTCAACATGCATCTGAATATCAAATAAGAGTACACACACACTTCAGTGATCAGAGAGAAAAGATTACTAATTTCATCAATTCACTGATTTTAAATGGGATATCACATTAAAAAAAAAAAGCATATGCAGCCAGACAGATACAATAGACAAGGCACTTGCTTTGCATGCAGCTGACAAATTTAATCCCTAGCACTACATCTGATCTCCCCAAGGCCCACCAAAAGTAACCCCTGAGCACCACTGGGTGTGGTCTAAGATGAAAAAATTAAGCTTGTATCATTCCTCAGTCAAAAATACAAAATATAATTCATCCCTCAAAAACATAAAACAAAACTCATCAACAAATGGATCCAACAGTGAAAGTGATCCACACAGAAATACAAGTTAAAAAAAATTTCTCAAACTGACATATGGTTAAAACTTTAAAAGTGTGTGTCAGAAAGATAGGATAGGAGGTAAGGCATTTGCCTGGTATGTGACTATGGTGGCAACAACCCTGATCTGAACTGCTAGTACCATGCCCAGTTGCTTGATAACCAGCTAGGAGTAACCCCTGAACACTGTCAAGTGTAGCCCCAAACCAAAATAAATACTTTGAAAGCAAAAAATGCATGTAGAAAGTAGACTATGGACTGAACATGTTTGCCACTCAATGCCTCTTTTGCAGACCACAACACCCAAAAGGAGAGAGAGAACACAGGGGATTGCCCTGCCACAGAGACAGGGGGGATGGGGGGATGGGGGTGGGAGGGATATTATCCATGGTGGTGGAAAATGGGCACTGGTGGAGGGATGGGTATCTGATCATTGTATAATTGAAACCAAAGCACAAAAAATTGTAAATCTACAACTTTAAAAAAAATAAAATAAAATAAAGGGAAAAAAAATGTAAAAATATTTGTAGGTATCAGTTCAAAAGCTTTCACTTTTTTTTTTTTAAACATTTGTGTTTTAGCTATCCTTTAACGGGGGGAAAATGAGAAAAAAAAATCTGTGACAAATAAATGACTATATTAACAGAAAAAGAATAAACTACAGGAAATGATTTTCAACTTTATAGAGCACTTGTTAATACATTGAAGAACATTATAAAGCATCACAAAATCCACCATTAACACCCGCAGCTCTTATCCAGTTACGAGCTTTAAGACTCCGATTTCTCATGAAAAATAAATGAGGGGCAGGTGTGGGGTGTGGCTCCTCAGTAGAGCACATGCCCTGCACATGTGAAGCCCTGGGTTCAATCCCTGGTGCATACACACGCATGTGAATGTAAGCAAATATGGATGAGCGTGAAGCAATAATCTTATGCTGTGGTGGTGTTTAAATCAGATAGTGCATGTAAAGTACCATATAAGTCAGCTACACAGTTAACAATGAGTGTTTAACCTTATTGCTTTATTTTATACTTTCTTTTAAAACTATTAAACTGACTGGATTCTGCATTTCCAATGATTAGGCTTCATTTTAGATTTTTATCCATTTGGACAATCTAATACTACCTCATTTGCCAATAATAAAATCATCACAATTGGTTATGAATCTCAGTGTATAAAGTAGAATAAAACTTTTCTAAATATGCTTTCACAAAACAAGTAAAAATATTTTTGATATTTTACCATATAGAAACATAAGAAAGTCTCCTTAGTTGATACCTCTGTACTTTTTATGACATACATTTTAAAAGATAAGTCATGATGTCAACTTACTTGGTGCAGATCATTTCCCAATGCATACTCTGCAAAGTAGCCCGGCGCAGCAGATGAGGCTCGGATGGCCTGCCACATTTTATACTGACAGCCTCCCATATAGTGAGAGTTGACTCCAGGAAAATGGCCATAGTTTCTGAACACAAAAGCTTTTGGAGTTATTCCTCTGTTTACCACGGTACTTACTGCAGCTACCTGGTGAATTAAAAAGTAAACAATACCCTTTGAAGGCAGCAGTATTTGGAATCCGTAAAAATTAATTTTTTTTTGTTTAGCATATGACTTAAGCCATAGCACAGTGGTAGGGCACCTGCCTTGCGCACAGCCAGCCTGGCCAAGCCGGGTTGGATTCCTCCACCCCTCTTGGAAAGCCTGGCAAGCTACCAAGAGTATCTCACCCGCACGGCAAAGCCTGGCAAGCTCCCTGTGACGTATTCAATATGCCAAACACAGTAACAAGTCTCACAATGGAGACGTTACTGGGCCCACTTCAGCAAATCAATGAACAACGGGAGGACAGTGACAGTGACAGATGAATGAAAAATCTACAATTCCACCCATCAAAATAAAGATAAATACACAGCCATAACTTAAATGTTAAGGAAGAAGAACAAAGACTTTTTAAGAAAATTACTCTGTACAGGAAAATAAATATACAATTAAGACAGCTTTTTAAAAGACTTTTTTTGGTGTCAGGGCCATACCCCAACAGTGCTCATGGCTTACTCCTGGCTCTCTATACTCAGGAATCAAACCTGGTGTGCTCGGGAGACCATTTGGGGTGCCAAGGATCAAATCTGGGTCGGTGATATGCAAGGCAAGTGATTTATCTTCTATACCGTAGTCTCTCTAGCCCTGGCTTAAGACAGTTTTGAGCAATAGATTATAACAATAAAAGATATATGTATATATATATATATATATATATATATATATATATATTAGTTTTGGGGCCACACCCAGCAATGCTCAGGAGTAACACCTGGCTCAGAATCCAAGAATTACTCCTGGTGAGATGCCAGGGATTGAACCTGGGTCGGCTGTGTGCAAGGCAAATACCCTGTGTGCTGTACTATTGCTCCAGTCCAATATAAAGATATTTTAAGAGAAGAAGATATAGTACAGAGGGCAGGGCACTTGCTTTGCACCAAATGGCTGACCCAAGTTGGTTCCCTGTCACCCCATACGATCTCTAAGCACTGCAGGAATGATCCGTGAGCACACTAATATGGCCACAATCCCTGATATGGCCCCCAAAAGCAAATAAATAATTTTTGAAATAATAAATATCAATTTCAACAATAAAAGATTTCGATTATGAACTAATTTAAAATTCAAGAAAGCATAAATTTTTAGAACTTTATATAATAGTTGATGTAGTGGCAATGAAAATAGCAAATAAAAAGTATATAAAGAGTAAGCATACCATTTTCCTAACACCAGCACAAATCAGTCTGCTTGTTTGCTCCCTGAAAGCATTACATAATTGAAAACTGATATTACACAAATTCTCATGGTATTCTGGTGATGGTTAATATTAATAACTAGGTAACTTTAAACTGGAAAAACTTAAAGCCAATTACCTTAGTCATGAGATTTACTGATGTCAGCTAAATTTAAGTAAAATGTGCTATGTTGGATATATCTACAATGATAAGGTTAAAAGCAGTGAGAGGAAAAAGTTGGAGGGGTTTCCTGTAGTGCCCTGACAGGAAAGTTTTGTTTTAATTTTTAAGCCACAGGTCTTTCCTCCAAGTTTCTGTGAGTGGTCCTTGGCCACCGTTGATTGGAACAGAAAATCAAAAGGGTCTTCGAGGGTTTCAGAGACAGGGGTTAAGGCACTTACCTTGCATGTAGCCACCCTGGGTTCAACTCTCCAGGTATTATACATGGTCCCCCAAGCACTGACAGGAGCCATTAGTTGAGCATAGAGCCAGGAACAACTAGCCCCTGGGCAAAGTTGAATAGGCCCAACTGTTCCCCAATCCCCGCCACCACACACACAAATACAAAAAAAGAACTGCAACTGGAGCACAGTACAACAGCTAGAGTATTTGCCTTGCATGCAGTGACCTGTTTCCCAAGCCCACCAGGAGTGATTCCCAAGTGCAGAGCCAAGAGAAAGCCCTGAGCACTGAGAGGCATGGCCCCCAGACAAAAAACAACAAAAACTCTGAAGGATATTTTTCAATAGGCAGGGTGAGAAGGGAAGCGAGGGGGGATACTCAATGATCACTAGTGGGTCACTTTCTGAGGCGGGTAACATTACCCCAAGTCCCATATTTAGAAACAAGGGAACATGGGAGCAACAGTACAGTGGGCAGGGCACTTAAATATATGGGATGATCCCCACAAGGAGTTATCCCTGAGCATAGAACTAGGAGTGACAAAAAAAGAGAAAAAAATCAATGAATAAAAGTTAAAAAAACAAAATTCTGAGAACAAACTAAAAGTCCTGAAAGACATAGGGGAGCAAACAGGTAGGGAATGCACCCTGGGTGCCCTTCTGAAAGAGCTAAGGCTGCTCGTTATCTCCCGGCTCTGCTGGCTTGCGGCTGGACTGTCTCATTCCACTGCGCTTGGCTCCTTAGGCTGTTACTCTTCAGAAACTCTTCCAGTTCCTGCATTTAGCCACTTCTCCTGCACAGGTTGTTTTCTTCTTAGGCAAGTTCCAACTCATCAGCCGTCACACTGCCATCTCAAATCTCACTTCCTTAGAGCAGCCTTCTTCATTTTCCATGTACTGCTCGTAGAAAACTGCTTTTGTGCTCCAATGCACTAATTTGAGGAAAACTATACCTTACTTGTGTGATTATTACCTACTTCGCCTAAATGTGCATGTGTTTACTCACAAAGCTGCCCTAACAACCTAGCACAGTGCTGGCACATTTTCCATGTGCTTAATATATAAGAAAGGAATGAATGAAAATATAAGTAAGAGTGAAATTACAGCATAAGGAGCTGCACTTGATTTTTTTAAATGCTGATAGCTTGTTATCCAAGGGGGAAAAAAAAAACTATGAAATTCCAGGAACATAAAGTCTATTCCTTAATAACAAGTTTCATGAAAGAACATAGAACTCAAGCAATAATCTGATCACTGGGTTTCAAACAGAGAAAAGTCATACTCAAACCCGGCACAATGACACCAACTTTTAAAAATTGGAACTCTAAAAAGAATCTTCACTCTCATATGCTGTTGAATGAAAATTGGCCCAGCCCATTGAAAAATAGTATGAAGATTTCTCAGAAAACTAAAAGCACAATAACCATACGTTTCATCCAAAGAACATAAAAACCCTACTTCAGGAAGATACACACACACCTGTTCATTGCTGCACTATTTACAAGTGAAGAACTGAAACAAGGAGCTGAAGCAATAGTACAGCGGGTAGGGCGTTTGCCTTGAGTGCAGCCGACCCAGGTTCAATCCCTGGTATCACATACGGTACCCCAAGCACTGCCAGTAGTAACTCCTGAATTCAGAGCCACACATACCAGCGTTTGTTGGGTGTGACTCAAAAAGCTAAACAACAACAACAACAAAGAACCCAAACAACCCATGTTCAGACCAGATGTGTGGATAAACTGTGGTTTATAATCACCAGAGAATGCTATTCAGACACTAGAAAACATGAATTTTGCTTTGTGTGATAACATGAACTGGAAGGGGTCATGCTACAAAAAGCCAAGTCAGAAGAGCGAACACACAGACAAGACAATTGCACCCATTTGTGGTACATAAAGAAACAATCAAGGGAAGAGACTATGCCCCATGACAACTTTTAGAGAGCATAAGCAGATACCAAGAGTGGGGAGGAATGGATTCTTTCATATCTTTTGTCCCAGTCTTTCATGTTGTTTTTTGTTGTTGTTGTTGTTGTTTTGTTTTGCTACTTCTTTCCTGGCAATATTAAAGTTCTAATAATCACATTCTCTAACCTTACACAATGACAATAAGGTAAAGGTAAGGTAAAGGCCCTCCCGTTGATCATCGATTTGCTCGAGCGGGCCCAGTAACGTCTCCATTGGAGACTTTGTTGTTACTGTGTTTGGCATATCGAATACATCACGGGGAGCTTGCCAGGCTCTGGCATGCGGGTGAGACACTCTCGGCAGCTTGCCGGGCTCTCCGAGAGGGGGGGGGCGGAGGAATCGAACTCGGGTCGGCCATGTTGGCTGCGTGCAAGGCAAACGCCCTACCGCTGTGCTATCGCTCCAGCCAATAGTTAAGAAATAAACACAATCTATTAAGATACTCTTTTTTTTAAAAGTTCCCTCTTCAATCTCTGGGGATGTGGTTAAAAAAAAAAAAGAACTCTTATCCACTGTTGATGAGAATACTCTCTGGTCCAACCCCTATGGAAAAAGTATGGAGGCTTCTCAGTAAACTCATAATTGCGCTCCCATATGACCTTATCAATTCCACTCTGGGTACCCAGGACATTCATTGAATGAATGAAACAACATATGCACGCTATTATTCATTGCAGCTCTCAGCATAATAGCTAAGATCTGGAATCAACCTAGATGTCCAATGACACATAAGCAGATCACGAAGATGTGGTATATATACACAATGGTAGAGCACGCAGCTGTAAGGAATGATAAAATCATGCAATTTGCAGCAACATAAATAGAACTGGAAGATATTATGTTAAATGAAGTCAGAAGAAGGACAAACATGGGATGGTATCAATTATATGGGGTATTCAAGAGTAACTGGATGAGGAAATGCAATGGCTTAAAGGCAGGATGCCCAGATCAACCTTTACCCCAGGTATAGAGAAGAGAAGGAAAGAAAAAAGAGGGAAGGGGAAGAGGGAGAAGAGATAGACAGAAGCAAGAGGGGACAGGCGTCAAGGGGATTCAGGGACATCCATGGTGTTAAGGAATGACGAGAGTCAATAACACTGAAATCAAGATACCCAAACTTTAACAGAACCTAAAAAAGGTCCTTGTCAAGAGAGCAGGCTGGGGGAGGATTATGAGAGGGTAGCTGGGAAGACTGGAGGAGGAAAGTCAACACTGGTGGAAGGATTGGTGAACACTCTATGTCTAAAACTCAACTATGAATATCTTTGTAAAGTTCCCTCTTATTAAAGAGCCCCCCGAATAAGTACTTTCACCTGACATTCAGTTTCAACTGGAAGTAAGATTTATTTATTTTATATTTGGGGGCCATACCCTGCAATGCTCAGGGGCTGTTCCTGGCTCTGCCCTCAGGAATTATGCCTGACAGTACTCTTGGGGCCATGTGAGATACCAGAGATGAAACCCGGGTAGGGCACATATAAGGATATATCCCTAGCCACTGCACAATCTCTCCAACCCCAAACAGACGTTAGATTTAAGAGATTCTAAACTTACCTTGGGACATGTGGGGTTTCTTGCTGTTTCAATCATTAATGAGGATCCCATTCTCTCCCTTTATTAAAGGAGAAAAGATAAATCTTATCACAATTATTTTATCTCCGAATTAGCAGGGAACATACACATTGTTTTCCAGCCTTATCTTTGTCAGAGTGCTAAGAGTGCTGAGAGGTACCAAAAGGAAATCTAAAAATCTCTTCTAGGAGACACAATCCAATTAATGCACATGAAACATTATGTAGTTATTAAACTCTGGTTAATATCTCAAAGTTGAGGGACCAGATCCATAGCAATATAGCAGGTAAGGCACTTGATTTGCATGCAGCAAACCCAGCATCAATCCCTAGCACCAAATATGGTTCCCTGAGTCTGACAGTGGTGATTTATGAGTGCAGAGGCAAAAGTAAGCCCTGAGTACTGCTGGGTGTGGCTAAAAGAAAAAAGTCTGAAAAGTGTCTATGGTTGTGGAGGGTGGTGACAATCAACATAGGAACTGGAAAAGATGCATGAAGACAGCTTTAAAATGGCAGCAAAAGATGGCAAGGTGACAAGATTCAAATCAAGACATATACAGGATAAAGAAACAGAGGCATAATAAACATTTCCAGGGCCTTTCTGGAAGGATAAAGGAGTTCTGTTGAGACAAGACTGCAGAAATAAGCTTAGACTAGTTACAGATTTATATAAAAACCAGATTAAGACATCTAGATTTTAAACTTGTTTCAGCAACAGAGTACGACGTTGTTCTCCAAAATGTTTTAAATCATCTGAGTTTGCATTAGAATAACTGCGTTATTAAAACTGTTAGCGGACAGCAATTTGACTATTCTATTAAAAGTTCTAAGGGGCCAGAAAGAGCAGAGGTCGGAGGGCACATGCCTTGCATGGAGCTGATCCATCTTCAATCCCCGACAGGAGATGCAGGTCCTGAGCCCCACCCTGAGTCAGGAGGTCACAGACTCATATCTACCCCCCAATGAAAATATTTAGGGGTCAGGGGCTTGGACCCCAAGTTCAATATGTGACACTCATTGGTCTCCAAAGCACTGCCCAGCACAGCACCAGAGGACCCTTGAGCGTCATTACGTGTGACCCTTATGGTCTCTGGGCCACCACATCTTGGCACCACATCTGGCAGGTGAGCATAGCTGGGAGTGGCACCGAGGCCCTCTGAGCACTGCTTAGAGGGTCTCCCTCACCCAACAAAAAAATGAAATGTCCTGTATTTTTATTTTGTGAAATGGAAATACAAATGGAAATACAAATTGATGTTACTGGGAGAGTAAGCTGGGACAACTGTTTTGGAGAATAATCACGATGACGATCACGACCATCCTGTTGTTCATCATTGCCTCGAGCAGGCCCCAGTAACATCTCCTTCGTCCTAGCCCTGAGATTTTTTAAAAAGTGCCTTATTAAAGGCTCTTTCAGGGTTAGGAGAATGAGACCCATCATTGTTACTGGTATTTGACATATTGGGTACGCCACGGGGAGTTTGTCAGACTCTGCGGTGTGGGCAGGTTACATTCTGTAGCCTGCCATTTTGTCCAAAGAATGAGATAATATTATCTCACAATTATTATTGGAGAATAATAATTGTTTTTTTAAATTTAATTTTATTTTTATAAAGTTCTTCACAACAATTAGAATAATGATTTAAGACATATTTATTCATAAATATTAAAGACTTAGCTCTAGCACATTCTCTGCTGCCAATATCACAACCTACAATGTGTACTTTGTCTCTCTCTGAGTCACCTTACATTTTCTAAATAAAACTATTTTACTTGGGGGAAAAAAACAAAAAAACTTGAGGGTCCTGAGTGATTGTACAATGGGCAGGGTGCTTGCCTTGCATGTGGCCAATTCAGGTTTTATCTGTAGCACCCCCATACAGTCTCTAGGGTCCAATAGTGATCACTGAGTGCAGAGTCTGGAGTAAGTCCTGGGCACGACTGGGTGTGATGACAACCCCCAGCACCCAGCCTGTTAAAAAAAAAACCTTGACACTAAAAATTTTCCTTAAAGGTATAATCATACATTTAAGTTAAAATGTAGGATATTCATTTAAAGTTAACGTGAATTGTGAAAACATGTGACATATCCTCCTTTCCAGAAAGAAAATTGTTTAAAAAAAAAAAAGCACACCCATAAAATAAGATAGTAAACAAGTATCATAGAAAATCTTGAAAAAGTGCTGGAGCAATAGCACAGCAGAAGGGTGTTTGCCTTGCACGTGGCCAACACGGGTTTGATCCCCAGCATCCCGTACAGTCCCCCGAGCACCACCAGGAATAATTCCTGACTGCAGAGCCAGGAGTAACCCTGTGCATCGCCAGGTGTGACCCAAAAAGCAAAAAAAAAAAAAAAAAAGAAAAGAAAAACCTAATGACATAGAAAATTCATAATTATAATAAGTATGTGATAAAAAACTACATAGGCAGTATCATCCCAATTTAGTGAAGGGTGAATTCTTTGTACACTCACTACCCCCAGGAATCTCCCGAACACTCTTACTTATGCATAACGAATTCTAGAAAAAAGTACATCACCATGTTAATAATGCTTTAGTTCTATTAAATTTAAAACTTTTCACTGCCTTCTAAATGTAGTCTTCATTTCTCATATACATTTTAAAGATATATTAATATTGATTCCCTGATGTGCAGTATAAAATGAACTACAGATAAGATTCTGAAATGCAGGCATAGGGCCAGAGCTATTAGTACAGTGGGTAGGACATTCGCCTTGCATACGGCCTACGTGGGTTCCATCCCCTACATCCCATATGGTCCCTTGAGCACAGCCAGGAGTAAACCCTGAGCATCGGTGGCTGTGGCCCCCAAACAAAAAAACAACCACCAATAATCCCCACGAAAATGAAAGTAAAAATATAAATCTTTCTACCAGAATCAATGCTCATAAACACTGATCATAAAACTGAGAACATTTATGTTGCTTTTAATTTTTTGTAATTAAGAAAATAAGGTACCATTACACTGTAAAATATACTAGTCTTCAGAAATGTGTCAAGGGCTAGAAATGTGGTTTAAGTGGCTGAGTACATGCTCGACTGAGCGACACTCTTATGCATAACTCTGTATTTGATCCCCAGTACAGAATGACTGCCCTGCCCCGAACCCCCCAAGCACTACCAGGAGGGGCCTAGAAGCCACTAAGCACCACTAGTTGTAGCACCAGTGGCCCAAATACTGCAGGGAGCAGCCCCACTGAAAAGCCCCAACCCAACATCTAACACCAATATCAAAAGGAGTTGGGGTTGGAGAGATAGTACAGTGGGTAGAGCGCTTGCCTTGTACACAGTCAACCTGGGTTTGATCCTCAACATCCCATATGGTCCCCTAAACAACTCCAGGAATAATTCCTGTGTGCATGTCTGGAATAACTTTTGCATGCGTGTATGTGTGTGTGTGTTTGTGTGTGCTTTTTTGGGTCACACCCAGCGATGCTCAGGAGTTATTCCTGGCTTTGCACTCAGGAATTACTCCTGGCGGTGCTCGGGGGACCATATGGGATGCTGGGAATCGAACCCAGGTTGGTCGTGTGCAAGGCAAACACCCTAACTGCTGTACTATTGCTTCAGCCCTGAAATAACTTTTGAGCATCACTAGGTATGGCCCCAAAACAAAAACAAAACTGCCAGGAGGTTTAATAAAGCTGAAAAATGAGGAAATGCAAAATAATTACAACATAACTTCTACTGCAGAAATGTGTGTGTGAACATTTTAATAGTCTAGAAAGAAGTATGTGGAAAGATACTGCAAAATCTACAATACCAAATAATCAAATGGTGGCTGAATTTATTTCTACTTTCTGCTTATAGTTTAGGGAAGTGGATACAATGTCTTTGTAAATTATGGGGAAAATGTTGAAAAATCATTAAATGTTTCAAGAGTATCTACTGATGCAAAAAAGACTACAGGATGCAAACATGGGCTATTATGGTTTCTGTAAAGAAAGGAAAAGATGTATTTTCCACACAAAATCTCCCACATATGGCCCAAGAAAGTAGCGATTAGAATACAATTTATCAAAATATTAAGAGTAGTGATCTAAATTAGTGCGATCAATCTAATATTCCTCAAATTTTTTTATATTTAAACTGTCTTATGTAAATATTACCCATATAAATAAAAATGTTAAATTACTGTAACTTACTTAAGAATGTTTTCCCACGTTTGACTGTCATAAAATGCATGGCTCCAACTCATTTTGACTGTTCCAACAATGACATTCTGTGAAAACACATCTGATCCTAATTTTCGATAAAGTTCCTCACATTGATCCAGAGGCATATGAAACAATCCCAGCATGAATGCTAATATGGCACCTGAAAGAAAGAATTCTTAGCTTTTACCAGTGCTTATACTATGTTACATACAAGATCTCCTGACTCACAGATTTAGTTTTGGAAGGGGTCTGGAGATAGCTCAATGGGCTAGAGGACATGATCTGAATGCAGGAAGGCCCAGGTTCAATGCCTGGCACCACATGGTCCCCAGAGGACCAAAAGGGAATTCAGCAGAACCAACAAGCATTATAGGTCTCTGGAGAGTCTCCAAGCACCAATAGTTGTGGCCCAAAACAAAAACAAAAAATTACATTGATACTTTACTTTTTTACTTAGGCAAAACTAAACCTCTGAGTGTCCCAATTTTCTGATATATGTAATAAAGATATTAACAACAACTAAAATTTGCCAATTTCTGTTATAGAGATAATGTCTATGAGGGGGTTTTACAGCTTCAATGAGGAATTAACAATTAACTAAATGTTAATCAATGATCACTAAATATACAAATTGTGTGCTGCTTTACAAAATACCTTAATACAATTAAGGTATTAAGGTAACCAATGTTTTTCTAACCTAAATAGCTTAGTTTTAGAGAACACTGTACTCTGGATAGCTTCTTTACTTCTTCAGATAGATCTTGGAAACCAGTACAACTAAAGAAGATTGGGGGAGGGGAGTGGAGTGACTGTACAGTGAGTAGGCATTTGCTTTGCACTCAGTCAACGTGGGTTTGACCTCCAGCATCCCATATGGTCCCCCCACCCCAACCCCAGCACTTCGAGGAGTAATCCTTGAGTGCAGAGCCAGAAGTAATCCCTGAGCATTACCAGTTGTGGGGAAGGAGGAAGGGAAGAAAGGGAGGAAGGGTAAGAGATAAAAAGAAGGGGAAGAGGAGGGAGGGGAGGAAGGGTAAGAGACAAATGAGGAGGAGGGGGAGAAACGGAGGGAGGGAGGGAGGGGAAGGAAGGAAGGAAGGAAGGGAGAGTGGGAGGGAGGGAAGATTTCTGGGGTGTCATCTGAAATAGCGTATTACATATCTTAGCTGCAATTGGTAGGACACACTGCCACCTAGCGGACCCAACTGGTCAATGAAGAACTAAGGAGGAAGGGAGAAGGTGATTTGAGGGAATGACCAGAGGAGGCTAAGATGGCAAAAACATCAAGGTATTCACTTAGAGACTGGAAACAAAAACCAGGAAATCCCCATCATAATGGATTTTAAATATTTTGTTATATTACAATGCTATAAAGGAATGTCTTATTCTGGGGGGGAAAAAAAAGGAAAGAAAAAAGAAAAAATAGGACAGGGGCCAAAGAGATAGTACTAGTAGGTGAGGTGTTTTCCTTGCAAAAGGCCCAAACAAACCCTGCACATACGGGGTGACCAATTACATGCCTGGCACTGCAGGCCCAGTCCCCAGTACGGACGGGTATAGCTTTGCACACATGCACCCGCAAGTGTGGCACTGAAAGCCTCAACGATCTCACAGAGGTGGTGGCCCTCACTGCCAGGCCTCTAGCAGCACAGCACCGCCAGGCTGGCCACCGAACCCTAAGGCCCACAAACATAAGGGGCCAAGTATTGCCCAGGGTGGCTCCTAGCCCCTTATGCACTGTTTGAACACAGAGCTCTCACCACACACTCCCCCCCCAACACACACACCTGGGGCCAGAGCAATAGTACAGCAGGTAGGGCATTTCCCTTCCCTTCCACGAGACCAACCTGGGTTTAATCCCCAACATCCCATATGCTTCCCTGAGCACCATCAGGAGTAATTCCTGAGTGCAGACCTAGGAGTAACCCCTGAGCATCATCACTGGGTGACCCAAAAAGATAAAAAAAAAAAACAACATAGGGGCTGGAGAGATAGCACAGCGGGTAGGGCGTTTGCCTTGCACGCGGTTGACCCGGGTTCAATTCCCAGCATCCCATATGGTCCCCTGAGCACTGCCAGAGCCAGGAGTAACCCCTGTGCATCGCCAAAAATAACAAAAAAACAAACAAACAAAAAAAAACCATGAAAAAAAAAACTTCTGATATTAATCTACTTCTTATAATTTGACTTGTGCCCAATAAACATTTTTTTTTCTTTTTGGGTCACACCCGGCGATGCACAGAGGTTACTCCTGGCTCTGCACTTAGGAATTACTCCTGGCGGTGCTCAGGAGACCATACGGGATGCTAGGAATCAAACCCGGGTTGGCCGCATGCAAGGCAAATACCCTACCCGCTGTTCTATTGCTCCAGCCCCAACATTTTTTAAGTTTACTAAGCAAACCATAAGAATCACACTCATCAAGACTCACTTCACAGAAATGACTTAGTAAGCTAAGAGCTTAATGTTCTTTTCCTTAATGCACTCCTGAGTCCCTGTTTTCATGCAATTACCTGTGCTGACACCACAAATGTAGTCAAAGAGCTGATGAACTGGCTTCTGAGTAAGTTCAACTAATTTCCGCAGGGTCTGAAGAGCGACCACACCCCTGCAATGAACATTAAAGCAAAATGAGAAATCCTGCTTCAAGAAAAATTCAGTTAAACTCAAGCACAAAAATTTATAAGTCTATAACTGTACCTCATGGTGTTTCACTAATAAAAAAATTGAAAAAAAATAAAAATAAAGAAAAGAAAAATTCAGTTACTGAATGAAATAATCCCACAAATTGCATTGTCAGATTTCAAGCTAACAATATAAAAGAATAAAATAAATTAGCATCACTTAAAAATGTCTAGGATTTTAACATCTCCTGAAAATCAGTATCTAAACAATTGTGTAAAAAATAAAAATCTGTTGTGGCAGCACTTAAAAATTTTTGTATTAGTAATCTCTTAAGAGTGCAAAAATACATCAAGGTGGGATTTTAATTTGGAGAGACACAATCACCATTCATAAGGGCACAATCATTTCCAATGGGGAATCACTGACCTACCTATCCCCAACCCTAAACATCTTGACTCCAATTTCCAAACTGCTTAACTTCAAATACTTACACTTAAACAAAAAGATGACCGAATACAGGAGTTAAAAAGATTTCTAGTGTTGGACTGGAGCGATAGCACAGAGGGTAGCGCATTGGCCTTGCACATGGCTGACACGGGTTCGATTCCCAGCATCCCATATGGTCCCCAGAGCACCACCAGGAGTAATTCCTGAGTGCAGAGTCAGGAGTAACCTCTGAGCATCACCAGGTGTGACCAGAAAGCAAATATAGAAAAAGATTTCTGGTGTTGGGGCTCAAGTGTTAGTACAGCAGGTATGGAGCTTTCCTGGCACACAGCTGATCTGGGTTTAATACCTGACAGCCCATATAGTTCCCCAAGCACCTACAGGGCTAACTCCAGGGTGATCTCTGAGCACTGGTAGGTATAACCCCACTGTCACTGTCACTGTCCTCCCAACGTTCGTTGATTTGCTCGAGCGGGCCCAGTAAAGTGACAGTCACTTCATTGTGACACTTGTTACTGTGTTTGGCATATCAAATACGTCACGGGTAGCTCGCCAGGCTTTGCCGTGCGGGCAAGGTACTCTCTGGTAGCTTGCCAGGCTCTCTGAGAGAGGTGGAGGAATCGAACCTGGGTCAACCGGGTCGGCTGCGTGCAAGGCAAATGCCTTACCTGCTGTGCTATCGTTACAGCACAGGTATAACCTCAAAACGAAAAAAAAGAAGAAGAAAAAAGACTCCTAGTGCCCAATTAAAGCTGTAGCTGCAAGCGATCCACATTCAGGCCTTACCGTGTTCCTCCACCGTCAATGGTGAGAATCCGTATTCCTCTTCCTTTCACTGGATCCACATAGCCAATTAAGGCCAAAATTTCTCTAACCGCAGCCTGAAGAGTTTCATCCCTAATTTGTCGCAATCGTAATAAATAGGGAATGATTTTTTCCTATTTTGAGAAAAAAAATTTTTCTGTCTTTATTAGAGTGAAAACGTATTATTTTTAATAAACAAATGTATATAGTCACATCACATATACAGTCACTTGTCACAAGATAGTCAAGGTGCGGGGGCTTACTTGTGCAATAATATTAAATATTTTGTTTTGGACATATTAATGTCAATTAATACTTAAAATGTCTGTCTAGAAACAGGGTTTATAAGTAAAAAGGAAGATCACATGCTTTGCATGTATAAGGCCCTAAATTCAATCCCTGACTCCCCAAGCACCATTCAATGTTGAGGCAACCTCAAAATTAATTTGTCCTAATGAGATAAAAAACAAACCTAAATACAAATATTTCATCTAAAGTGCAATGCTTAACAATCACAGAAAATATAATTCAACATAAATATACCAGGATCATTACAACAAAAGGTTAACAAATTTTATACAATTTGTCCAAATTCTAAAGTAGACCAAACTGCTTCACAGCAACTATTAGGACAGCTATTAAAACAGTTGACTTCTCCGCTCTGGAGAGATCCATGTTCTCTATTGAACATCTCTTTCTCTTTCTCTTTCTCTTCCTTCATACCTCTCTAAACTTCTTACAATAAAAATTATTTTGCTTCATTTATAAAAAAGAAAAAATTGTATTGCATACATGAAATACAAGAGTACCTCATAGTGAAATGCTAATTAAACCTCATAGTCAAGAATTTAATAAAATTATATATACAAGGCAAAATGTCATCATTGTAACTATGTAGTAATTTAAAAAAAATTTTTTTTGGTCTTTTTTGGGTCAGTGATGCTCAGGGGTTACTCCTGGAGGTGCTCAGTGGATTATAATGGGATGCCGGGGATTGAACCCGGATTGGCCATGAGCAAGCCTTACCCACTGTAGTTATCACTCCAACCCCAGCAATTAAAAATTTCAACAATCTAGATTAAAGATTCTAAGTGTTTATACAAATGACAGACAAGAATTTAGTTCCAAGGGTTCTATGTTGAATTTATCATATTATCAAAAATTATCTTCTATATACAAAATCATTTGATCGAAACACATTTCAAGAGTTGACTAGCAGTAACCTTTGTGTTGCTTAACCTTTATTAAATCAAGTAATTTTCCAAAGTAACACTCTTTTTTTCTTCCCAGGAATCAAATCTGTAAGCACAGAGCTTCCAGGCACCACAGTGTTGTGGTGGCCCAAGAACCAATTTTTTTTTTGAAAAATAAGCTGATTCTAAATTTTTTTAAAAAGAAATACACATTACCTATGTAAACTAAGAAAAAATATGAACACTTCATTTCTGAAAAACTATGAGTTGATACTGCTGCTATTAAGTGCCCAAAAATTCATGCCAGCATTTTAGGCAGATTTGGGGGAAAAAAACAACTATTTTAAACATTAATGATTCAGTACAAAGAACCAAACCCCTTCTCTTGCTTTTCTCATACACTGGTCTTTGAGAGTAACTAACAGCTTCAGTTGGTGAAGGAAAGATCTACTTTTATAGAAGAAGGTCAATTAAAATGCAAGAGAACACTATAATTAGCAGTTCTAGTTCCACGAGTTCTACAAACAAGTTAATGATTGAAAGATGAATGGCTCTAGGTTAACTGTTCAATAAAAAGATGGGATTGTCATCTCCCTAATCCAGCAAGTCATCCCTAGAATTACCAATGGCTGCCCAGCCAATTTTCCATTCTAATATGATGCAAATAAAGCACATGACATCATCTCCACTCTACGTGCTCTAAGAGAAAGGGCTTACATCAATCAAATCCCTATATTTAAATTCCCCGGAAATGAAAAGGAAAAGAGAAATACATTAAAAGTAACACCAATGAGGAATGATCCAACTAAACCCAGAAAGGGAGTGATTATGCAACCCAGTCTCTTAAATGGTCAATTTGTAGATCGGGGGAAGTACTGTGCTGTATTTATTATTAATAATGGCTTGGTGGGAAAACCAAACAATTTGGAGTTAACCCTCACTTGAACTGAATCAGTTATATTTAAAAAAAAAATGCTTGAGCTGGATAAAGAGATGAAAATATACAGATTTAGAAAGGTGCACAATGATAAGTGAATAATGCAAAACAACTGGTTATAAAACATTACATATAAAGTGACTTTGTTTGGACACATACAGACACATAAAGAACAACTTCTGGAAGAATATTTGAGGTGTTCACAAATATCCTCATTGCTTTCCCACCAGGCACAGAGGCAGCACCTCTCTGGCCAATAAACAGGGCAGGAAAAGGCCGCTGGACTGTGAGGAGACACCCATGACACTTCCTGCTGCTACACTCTGACCTGCTACTGCAATCATGAAAGGGGCCTGCACCGAGACACAGGGAAAACATCCAAGGAGGCAGCAGAGCAAGCTCCAATGTTCCAGAGTCACCCAAACCCATGACTAACTTATGTGAGTGACAAACTGTAATTATGTTAAGCCACTGTTATTTTCAATAGTGTGTTATTACTGCTCAGCGCAACTTACTCTTAATACAGACAGAAGTTAATCTAATTCTGCAGTAATCTTAGGGTAGAAGAAACACTTTTTTTTCCCTTTCTTTGGGTCACACCCGGCAATGCAGAGGGGTTACTCCTGGCTCTGTACTCAGGAATTACCCCTGGCGGTGCTCTGGGGACCATATAGGATGCTGGGAATTGAACCCGGGTCGGCCGCGTGCAAGGCAAACGCCCTACCCACTGTGCTATTGCTCCAGCCCGAAGAAACACTTTTTATGTTCTTATTTTTCCTAGTTTTTCTAAATAGCCCATGTGCTTACTGCTTTTAGAAAAACAAGCTTTTTAATACCTTGAATATCTTGAATAACCTCCTGGTTCTGTGCTTAGGGATCACTCTTGGCAGGGCTCAGGAGACCATATGGGGTGTTGGGGGATTAAACCTGGATCAACCACATGCAAGGCAAATGCCCTACCTCCTGTACTATTGCTCCGATACCCAAAAGCTCAATTCTCAATGATAAAAATTCTTATTGGTAAAGTTCATGTAAATGTATGAAAATTAGCTTATTTGGGGGCAACCTATAAAGTATACTGTTTTTGGCTCTCTGGCATGACCATGGCACCAGAGGTACACGGACCTAATCCAGAGCCCAGCAGCTTGCGGCAGAAATATGAATGGACTATGCGCTAAACTACAGCGCCATGCCCCCCGCGCCCCCCCCCCATGGAGGAAAAGGGTGTCTGTTTCTTCTGCCTCTTCTCCTCTACCCCCCCCCCCCCCACCCGCAGCATGGTGGCCACCACCTCAGAGCTTAATGAATGGAAAGCCAGGTATGAGCTGGTGGTGATGGGGCAACTGTAGCCTCATAGGAAGGGAGGCAGAACCGGCTCGTCCTTCACACCCTACCGAGGCCACGAGTTGCCCCCACAAGTGGCTCTCCAGCACAGCCATGGCACCAGACACACAGAAACCAAATCTCATAATTATCCGGCTCTTGGCAGAAATACCTCCAGACTTAATAAAATATCAGAAATCCAAAATCGCCCAGCCACAATAGTGGCTGCGCAACATCATATGGTTTTCATAACCAGCAATAGAAAACAAATTATTTCACAATGCCTTTCCAGCAGTTCTGATCGTGGGGGGGAAATTTCAAACAATAATGGTGCAACTTTTGTCGAAATAATGCATGTAATCAAAGTAGAGAGAGAGTTAAGTAGAAATCATCTGCCTCACAGGCATTGGGAGGGGTGGGAGGGGGCGTATATTGGGGTTCTTGGTGGTAAAAAATAATTACTGGTGAGAGGAGGGGTGTTTGATCATTGTATGATCAAGACTTACACCTGAAAGCTTTGTAACTTTTCTCACAGTGATTCAATAAATAAATTAAAAAAATAAATAAACTATACTGTTTTTGAGAGATCATTATTTAGAAGGATCAAACTTTCATCACGTTATTTTCTTGACCAGTTTCTTCACATTATTCTAGATTTTCTTAACAGCTGATCTGAAAATATACTCATTAATATTGGAGGGTATTTAGCTTTGGTATCAGTTAAGCAAAATGAAATTTCAAAGTTTCTACTAGCAAGGCTATTTTTAAAAGACTCAAAGGGAAAACTACCCAGAAATCCCTCAAGTTTAATAAAATAATAATTCAGTGAATGAGGCTCATCATCTCCCCAAACCCACAGCACTACTGGTGCAGTCCCTGTGAATTAAAAATACATATCTTATTATAAATAAAATATACCTACAGTTTTCAGCATAAAGTTCAATAAAATATCACAAACAGTGCACATCTGTGCAGTTTATGAACAATGAAAGCAGTTAAGAATGAATAATATATGCCCACTCACAACAAAGTGATTCCTACCAAAAGTTAAGTGAAATAAGTCAGTTGTAATAGTTTATATAATGACAAAAGCATAAATTAAACTGTGACCACTTTGTGTGTGGGGGTAGTGGAGGGAAGGGGAGCAGGCACACATGCAGCAATGCTAAGAGGTTGATTACTCCTGGCTCTGCAGTCAGGAATTACTCCTGGCTGTGCTCAGGGCACTATGTGGGATGCCAGTGAGCAAACCCAGGTTGGCCACGTGCAAGGCAAATGCTCTAAGACCCTAACCCCTTAACAACTGTACTATCACTCCAGCCCCTCTGTGACTACTTTTTTTTTTTAAAAAAGTAGATTTAACTAAAATGGAAACAAGAAACAAGGGAGGCTTCTCAAGCACACGGAAAGTTCTATTCATGTGGGTGTCAGTTACACAGATGTCCTCCGTGAGAATTCACTGATTTTATGCAGAAAACTGTAAGTATATTATATTCTGAATTAGATATGTAGCTTTTACTCATAGGGACTGCATGGGTAGTGCTATGGGTGTGGGAAGATGAAGGACCCACATTTAAAATCAGGACCTTACACATGATGCTCGACCACCTCTTATTCTCACTAACCACGAATAAAATACTTTTTAAAGTGTGTGATTCTATTTTAAAGCTATGATTTCAATATATCACTGAAATTTGTGGTATACTTAAAAGTCTATGCATAGTACAAAAAAAAAATTACAGGCATAACTCCAGTGTTCAAAAGGCCCAGGCTGCTCCCATGATACCCAGCTCAGTGCTGCCTCAGCAGTATCCTGGAGACCATGTGGTACCAGGAATCCAACTCTGAGTATCTGCATGCCGCGCCTGCACTCCAGCCTTTATGCTATCTCCTAATCCCTGCACTCACCTAAAATACAAGTTTTTTAAAAGATAGAAAACTTATCTTTTAGGTAAAAGATATCACATATAAAAAAGGAATCCCAAATCTAATGAACAGGGAATATACTAAAGTTTAGCTGTTAAAATGTGCCCTTTAGACAATATAAAACTACCTTCAAATACCTTTTCAAAAACTGATTACAAGAAAGGTACACAAAGGTTAACTAAATTACACTTTTATGAATGGTAAAATATAAGAGAGCGTTAACATTATTAATAATGTTAACATAAGCTACTCATTCCATAAGTTTAAACTGTTCTTTATTACAAATACTGTTAGTATAAATATAATGAGATTGAACCACATTATTCATATCTTACATTAGTAGGCTTAAAACTCTACTTTTAATTGGTGTATCTTCACAATCACGACAAATCACGACCATCCTGTTATTCGTCGATTGCCTCGAGCAGGCCCCAGTAATGTCTCCTTCATCCTAGCCCTGAGATTTTTAAGAAAGTGCTATATTCAAGGCTCTTTAGGAGAATGAGACCCATCATTGTTACTGGTATTTGGCACATTGGGTACGCCACGGGGAGTTTGCCAGACTCTGCCGTGTGGTCAGGTTACATTCGGTAGCCTGCCAGTTTGTCCAAAGTAGGAATGAGATAAGATGTCATAATAAGATCTTATTATGACATCTTCACAATACCTGAAAAAAATGATGTGCATAAAAACTAAATATTTTAGTAATATGGTCACTAACTCAAGAATCAATAAAGTCATTAAAATTTTTCTCCTTTGTTTTTTTTTCTTGCTTTTTGGGTCACATCTGGTGATGCACAGGGGTTACTCCTGGCTCTGCACTAAGGAGTCACTCCTGGTGGTGCTCAGGGGACCATATGGGATGCTGGAAATCGAACCCGGGTTGGCCGCTTGCAAGGCAAATGCCCTACCCACTGTGCTATCTCTCCAGTCCCCAAACTTGTCTACTTTCAAATACAAAAAAAAAAAATCATAAAATAAAAATTAACATCAGTTTTGTTTCACTTAAGAATTGCGACTCCCTCGGGGCTGGAGCACAATGGGTAGGGCATTTGCCTTGCACGCGGCCGACCAGGGTTCAATTCCCAGCATCCCATATGGTCCCCCAAGCACCGCCACGAGTAATTCCTGAGTGCATGAGCCAGGAGTGACCCCTATGCACTGCCGGTGTGACACCCCCCCCAAAAAAAAGAAAAAAAAGAAAAAGAAATGCAACTCCGGGGCAGGAGCGATAGCACAGGGGGTAGGGAGTTTGTCTCGTATGAGACCGACCCTGGGTTCGATTCCCAGCATACTATGTGGTCCCCAAGCACCACCAGGAGTAATTCCTGAGTGCAAAGCCAGGAGTAATCCCTGTGCATTGCTTGGTGTGACCCAAAAAGTTAAAAAAAAAAAAAATTGCAACTCCTTGGGTCTGAAGAGATAGTCCAGCAGGTCAGGTGCTTTCCTTGCTCACATCCAATCCCGGTTCCACCCACAGCATCCCATATGGTCCCCTGAGCCATGCTGGATTAGCCCTGAGATCAGAGCCAGAAGTAAACCCTATGCTGCTACATGTGCACTACTCCCCACCCTACACAGCCCCCCCCCCAAAAAAAAACTGCAACTATTAAAAAGCAACAAATAGTATGAACATCTAAGCTTCATTCAAGAAGAACATGGTAGCTTTTATGTAACTGAAAACTATCTTCTGTTCTAAAATGCATAATGAGGGCCCGGAGAGATAGCACAGGGCCTCAAGTGCTTCCCTCACACAGAGCCAATCCCGGTACACTGCATATGGTCCCCCAAGCACTGCCAGAAGTATCTCTGAAGCACAGAGCCTAGTGTAAGCCCTGAGGATTGCCATATGTGGGCCAAAAAAACAAATAAAAAAAAGCAAGAAATAGTTAAATGTCAAAATACATCAGTTTTACTAATTATATTAATGGGTGATTTACAATACAGAAAAGAGAACATTTAGCATACCGTATCTCCTTGCATGGAACAATTACTAAATATACATTACAACTGGGAAAATCAAAGCAAAAATAAAAACCATAAATAAAAAATCACTCCTTTCTACATTTTGAGAGGTTTATTGGCATTTTTATCTCAGGACAAAAAAACCAGATTCAAGAAACTAGAATTACCTTGACAGCCACTCCTTTTCCTTCAGGAAATTCTAGAAGATGAAAGGTGAGTTCTTCAACCCTAGTAATGCAGAGTTTGGGGTCAGTTGTTCTTCTCAATGACTGAACCAACGCCCGGGTTCTATTGTCAATACTCACTCTTGCAATAATCTGGAAAGACATGATACACGTTTTGACTGAAATACAAAACTGCTCTAGGAATACCAAAAAACAGTAATAAGTTTCTTAGGTCTCATTTAAGTAAATGAAACATTAATTTGAAGCAAAAAAATTAATAAAGCTTAAGATCACATGAAATAACTTGCCTTTTCCCGTTGAAGAGATAAACGCTTTTTCTCCTCTGCATTTTTCTCTTTGCTGGCCGCCTGCTCCGCTTTAACACTTTCTTCTTGTTCCTCTGGCTGACTCTTTGAGTCAGACTTTAATTTGGGGACAAGTCCACCAATATAACCACCGACTAAAGCTTGCACACCTTCAGTGGGACGAGAAAGGAAGTTGGCAATGCTTTGTTTGGTAGAAACTGGAGGTACCTCGGGGACCTTGCTGGCACTTCCGGGCTTGTCCACGGCGTGCAAAGATTCAGAGTCCAGCTTCTCATCACTCAGGATACTACCATCTGGAGAACTAGATTTCTTGTCAGCTTTTATATCTTCAATTTCTAATTTGTCCAGAGGATGCTTACTGTCCTTCTTTTCAGACATTTTCCACTGACGCTTGAAGTATGAATTTATATGATTTGATAAAAAATAAAATGATTCTCCAAATTTTGTGGTTATACTATTTGTATAATGAAAAAGGCTATGCTTACCAATATCTTCGTCTTTATCAATAACAGGGCTCCTCTTTTCTGGAAAAGAACTTTTGTCTGTGGATTGGTCTCTATACTTATTCAGAGATTCAGTGGTTCGTTCAACATTTTTCTGTTTCAACCAGCCACTATCTGATACTTTTCTTAATATTCCAGATCTTGGCTTAAATTGAGCTAAACGTGAGATCATTTCATTCCCATTGCCAAAAACAGCCTTTGAAACAGAGTTCAAAGTACTTTTAATACGGGACATACGAATGTTCACTTTTGTAAGTCCTTTGGGAGCAGAAGTACTAAGTTTCAAAATTCCAATATGGAAAGCATGGTTGCCTGAAGAGTAACAGTGCTTACTACAAGGATGTGCTTCCCTTTTGGTCCATTTACATCTTACTCTGCTTGTATGAAAACCTCTCTGTAGACTGATGTGGCTTATCCTCCAGTAATATTTAGGTGAGCACAAGAAATACAGTTGCTTGTTCCTCTGCTTCCCACAAAGACTTCTTGCATTACTAAGGAGGTAAATATATATATCTATAGTCAAATTAACAGACATAACTTGAAAATCATTTATTTTCTATAGGTTATGACTTTCACTTCATTCCTGAATGCTTCACTTAGAAATGCCATAATTCATGGTCTTACCTGAAATGGCAAAAAAAAAAAAAAAAAAATTAGGATGTGAGTAAGCGTAAACTGGATATAGAAAATATATCCCCATTTGCAAACTCAGCAAGTTATCTCAAAAATACAGCTTAATGTATTTCTCCACTGTTGCAAATACAGATCTCACTTTTAAGCTAAAAGGAATTAACTGAGCTTGGGGGCGGGGGGGAACATATGCTGCCCACGCCCATGTGCTGCTTGTGCCCACATGGCCGAGCACACATGTCACCCAAGAACATGTGTTGCCCACATCTCCCCTCTTGAGATGCGTACTTTCATGCTTCCCCATCTAATGCTGAGGTATGTGTAAGGGCTCTCTCCACCTTTGCAGAAGCCCATCTTCTCTCTTGAGCATTTTACACTCTCACTTTCTCTCCCTCCTTCCCCTTCCTAAAAACCTCCAAATAAAATCTGCTTTTACTTAAAAAAGAAAAGAAAAGAATGCAGCTGTTTCACCACAAAACTCAATGAATAAAATAGTGAGCAGTGGGATGTTTCAGAAGAATTAATTTACGGAAGCCACCTACAACACTTAACCCAATATGTCATTTAAATACTATGTCTTTTTGCCTTTTTTGTACTATTAAATTCTTGACTAGTTCATGTGACATTACACCTTCATGTTCTTTGATGAAAAGGATCAGGTCTTATATTCTAGTCTATTTTATTTTTATATCTATGGACCTTGCGCAGGGCCATGCTAATCTTCTCTGTATCTTTCCAATTTTAGTATATGTGCTGCCGAAGCCCGGCAAGCTACCGAGAGTATTCGATATGCCAGACACAGTAACAACAAAGTCTCCAATGGAGACGTTACTGGGCCCGCTCGAGCAAATCGACGATCAACGGGAGGGCCTTTACCTTTACCTTTACCTTTACCAGTCCAGGGACTAACAGTTACAACCAATTAATTGGGCAGTGTGTTTCAATCTTTCTCCACATGTAACTGGCTGTTGACCATTGAAGACCTCAGTTATACTTCATTCTGTGGAAATCAACTTACAGAGCATTTCATCTATTTCATCTATACCAGATATGATGCTAGATGCTATGATTAGACAACAAAGATAAAGCGGATATTTTTCTAGAGATAGCCATGTAAAACCAAGATAAGAAGGGGCTAGAGAGATAGTACAGTAGGTAAGGCCACTGCCTTGTAGTGATCAACCTGGGTTTGATCCTCCACACCCCATAGAGTCCGCCAAGCCCACCAAGTGCAACCCCTGAGTGCAGAACCAGTAGTAAGCACTGAGCACTGTCAGGTATGACCCAAAAGAGAACAAGAGGCTAAAACAAAAAAAACCTATTCTGGCTGTCTCAAAGATGATAGTCTGAATTAAAATACTTATAAAACTGTATGTGCACATACCATTTTAAAATATTCTCATTAGGGGTTTCCCAGAGATAGTGCTCAGTGGTAGAGGGTCAGCCTGCAGGTGTGAGGTCTCCAGTTAGGTTCCCAGCATCCACATATTGTCTCAGAGTGTGATTCCCTCCTGCAACCACATATGGCTCCATAATACACCACAATCAAGGGTAAGTATTGTGACCAAGTGTTTTACCCAGTGTATCACGGTCTGGAGTGATAGCACAGCAGTAGGGTGTTTGCCTTGCATGTGGCCGACCCAACCGACCTGGGTTCGATTCCTCTACCACTCCCCGAGAGCCTGGCAAGCTACTGAGAGTATCTCGCCTGCACGGCAAAACCTGGCTAGATATCCGTGATGTATTCAATATGCCAAACACAGTAACAAGTCTCACAATGGAGATGTTACTGGGGCCTGCTCGAGCAAAGCAAATCACAATAATAAAGGGAGGGAAAGATAAAAAATTTAAGTTCTGGGGCCATAGCAACAGTATAGGAGGTAGGGCACTCGTCTTACACACAGTCAACCCACATTCAATTCCTTGTGCCACATATGTATGATCCCCAAGCCCTGCCAGGAGTGACTGAGTACGGAGCCAGGAGTAAACCCTGAGCACCATGGAGTGCAGCCCAAAAACAAATAAACAAAAATACTTTACATTCCAAAACACAATAACTTGAAATATCCAAATGTTTGGAAGGGACAAAAGAAAAACAAACCTATCTCTTCATAGTTTTTCAACAAGTCCTCAGGATTTGCAGTCAAGGTTAGAAAGTGAACTAACATAAAAGCACTTAAATTCCCCAAACATGAAACTATCTCTTGAAATATCTTAATGAACTTAACAGATAAGGGACAAAGGCGACCAAACAGTGGGTAGGGCATTTTTCTTGAGCTGACCAGGTTTAGGTTCCATCCAGTAACCCCAAATGGTCCCCCAGGCCCTGCCAGGAGTGGTCCCGGAGGGCAGAGGCAGGAGTAAGCCCTGAGCACTGCTGGTGTGGTCCAAAAAACAAACCACCATAGACAAACCAAGATTGCATAGCCAATAAGGCGCTTGCCCTGGCCTACCACACAGACAAGGACCAGGTTCACTACCTTGCACGCACCTACCATAGTGCCCTGACTCCCACCAGAAATGATCCCTGAGCACAGGGCCAGGAGTTAGCCATGTGCATAGTTAAGGTCAAAATTTTTTTAATTTTTATAAAAAGATCTAAAAAAATGATACTGGGAAACGTTTCCAGAGAAATCACAGTCCTGACCTGCAGTCATGTTATCCTGACAGCACAGAGACCCTATGAAAATGGGAACTCGAGCTGGTGTGCCCCCTGGAATTTGGCAGAGTGTCACCTGAAACTACCAGATCACATATCCAGAGCTCAGGACAAGTGAGGCTCCCACACAAAGTAATCATCACTACAGGTTAATGAATATTCTGTCACTGTCACTGTCACTGTCCTCCTGTTGTTCATCGATTTTGCTCGAGCAGGCCCAGTAACATCTCCATTTGTGAGACTTGTTGTTACTGTGTTTGGCATATCGAATATGTAACCAAATGTATTTGATATCTTGCCAAGCTTTGCTGTGCGGGCATGATACTCTCGGTAGCTTGCCCGGCTCTCTGAGAGGGGTGGAGGAATCGAACCTGGTTCTGTCAGGCCAGCTGCGAGCATGGCTAATGCCCTACTGCAAAGAAATTAACCGTTACCTCAAGAGAACACCAATAAAAATAGCCAAAAGGAAAAATGTCTAACCAAAATTTAGAACTAGAAAAAAATTAAATATTTAAAGCACTTAAAATGTTCAGGGTTTAACAAAAAATAATAAGGCTAAAGAATGGAAGGGGAAAAAAAGCACAAAAAGAGAAAAAGAGAGTAAAAAAGTTTTTTTGGAAACAAAAACTCCAGCTACATACTAGTAATTAGCCACGCCTATGATACAGTGACAAGGAACAGGTGGAAATAAAGAGATGAGGGGAAATGATGGACTTACATGAATAGACCTACCTAACCAGAAGAAAGCAAATAAACTTTTGTGGTTTTTTTTTTGGGGGGGGGGGGGGTCACACCTAGCAATGCTCAGGGGTTACTCCTGGCTCTGCACTCAGAAATTATTCCTGGTCTAGCCATAAACAGAGTACATGTCATGTATATGTTAGGGCTTGGGTTTGATCCCTAACACTGGGAAAAAAAGGTCAGCAGAAAAAGAAAAGTTTGGAAATATGAGCTTTGTCTATTCAAGAATGGCAAGAATAAGACAGCTGAGGGAAGCAGAAATGGGAAAATTGACACAGACAAGCAGAGAGAAGAGTCTAGCAGAAGACAGAACTACATTAGCCTAGACGGCAATAGAGGTCTGCATTGCCTCCATTCAACCTTCCAAGCTACACCCATTACCACCTTTAGGGCATTATGAACTCACCTCTCAACTTGGCATACAAATTCAGCGTACATTGCCAAAGCAAAAAAATAAATAAATTTCAAAAACACTGGACAATTTTGTGATACCTTCACACACCTCTCGGAAATTACAAATATAAAGCAGAAATTATTAACTATTTCATTATTAGAGTCTACAAAATTAAGTTCAACTAAAATATTTCCAAATCACAACATAGCAAATACAGGTATATTTTGTTTGTTTCCACACGGATCATTCCTGGAGGTGCTCAGGGGACTACATGAGAGAGGTATCAGAGACCAAATCCAGATTGGCAGCATCCAAGGTCTTACCTATTGTACTATCTATCTCTCCACACCCAGGTACAACTTTTTAGAGAAAACTCAAGTGGAACAAACATTAAAGTACAAAAAGATGTAAGAATGTAAAGTGGGGGCTGGAGTGATAGTAAAGTGAGTAGAGCCCCTGCCTTGAAGGGGCCCGTCCCCAGTAATATTTATGGTATTCTGAGCTTACCAGGAGTGACTTCTGAGCACAGAGCCAGTGAAAGCCCTGAGCACTGCTGGGTTTGGATTCCACCCCCCCCCCCCCCCACACACACACCCATTTTTTTGTAAATGTAAAGAACAAGGTGTTACCATGGACTAAGAGAAGGGCATGGAAAACTTTAAATGCAAAAGGAGAGAAGAAGAGATAGTACAGATAGCCTTGCCTTGCATGCTACTCTGGGTTTGATCCCCAGAATCCCATATGGTCTGCCTGAGCCTGCCAGTAGTAATCCCTAAGCACCACCTGTTGTGGCCTCCAATCCATAAACAAACAAATAAATAAATAAATAAAATGGGAGAGTGATTAGAATAGGGAATGGGTGGAGTGTATACTAGAGGAAATAAGGAAAATGCTAGGTAAGGACATAATGAATGAATTTGTGAAGTTATGCATATGTTGTGGAATAATATAAGCACAAAATTTCATTTTGTGGTGTCTGAGTTAAAACAGCTCTAATAGTATACGGTGAAGAGGGTCATTCTTGGCCATCTGCAAGAGTGATGGAAAAACACGCAAAACTTGCTGAAGGGAAGAGTGAGATAAGAAGTGGTAAAGGTCAAGACAATTTAGGGGATTTTCATGAAACCTGGGTAAAACAAAATGTCATTTGTGAATGAAAGACTACTGGGATAGGAGAATTTAACATAAAAGTAACCTCTTGAATTTACAGAATGAATAGTAGGAGATTCAAGTGGAAATAGACTATCAGATCACAGTGGATATATAGTATTGGATTTACCGAAGTTTACAGTCATAATTCTTATTCTGACACAAAGAATTTGATAAAAGCTCCTCTTTCTTGACAAATGCTTGTTTTTCTTATTTGTGTATATGAACTAAAGTTTATATAACAGTATAGGACATTCATGAACCTACAAAAAGGATTCCTTGTGCATCAAAATCTTAACAGTCTGGCTTTTAAATTTTGTTTTGATTTGTTGGGGGGGGGGGGCGCTACACCAGCTAGTGCTCAGGGCTTATTGCTGGCGCTGCATTCAGGTATCACTCCTGGTGTGTGGAGATCAGGGGACCAAATGGTGTGCCTGATAGTGAACCTGCCCAGCCTAAATAAAGCAATTGCCTGACTACCTGTACTATAGCTCCCAACTCCAAAACTCCGGTTTTAAGAGAATAACCATGGAGCCCAGTGTCATCCACAGTAAGTAAGAGGACATCTTTCAAAAATAAAAGGCATCAGTGAAAAGACACCCTGAAACAATCAGGACAATGGAAGCCCAAGTTCTGAAAACTAAGGGGCAATGAACAAAGTAAAACATTAAGACATGGGAAAGAGGAATTTTAGAACCAAGACATAATAGAACTGGAAGATGTCTAGAGCTAAGAGATCTAACTCTGACATTTTGACAAGGGTCAGCTTCAAAAAAAAAAAAATTTAAACAATATATACTCTACCATAATTATTGTTATTACTGAGAGGGAAAGAAACAACTCAAAGTAATAGCTGTCCTTTTATCAACTTTGTATGTGAAGCAAATGACTATCTAACCTGGTAAAACCCATAATTTCATTCATATCACTCAATAAAAAAATATTCCATTCAAAATTTTAATTTGCCTCAAATATAGCAAAAACAAGTTAAACATTAAGAACTGAATTAATGAAAATTACTTAGAACAAGTTCTTACACTGAAAGCATAACTTGCAGAAGCAATTAACAAAATAATTACAAGAAATTTGAAACTGCCTCAGGGGAAGCGTAAACTCGTAGCTTAAAAACATTTTTTTAAAAAATTCGAGGCTTTAAACATTCCTCTTATTTCAGTTTTCAACAGTTTCTCAATACACTGAAAAAGTGTCATCAGCAATCAAAACTGCAGAGCCAGTACGTAACCATTTACGGGAAGTAATAACAATTGCATCTGATAATCCCTTTAAGATGCATCCCTCCCCAGTTTTTCCTCGAAGCCACCGCTTTCCTTTAGGGTTGTCACCCAAGCGGCACAGAGACACCAGTTTCCTTCCAGCAAAATGACAGCACTTCTTGACAAGGCCCGTGGAAGCGCGGCAACTCACGGAGGAACACACCTTCCCCTTCGCCAGCGCACTCACCTGCAGACGCCTAACCCAGTGCCGCGGTCAAGAGTGAAAAGTGGGGAAGGGTTAAACAGGAATCGCCGAGAAATGTTTAAAAATAGCAATCAGGAGAATCGGGATCACAGTCGGGAACGGTGCAGAAACGGGACTGCGCCTTGAACCTTCCCTTGCGAACTTGTCGCCCGAGAAAAACCCGGGCAGGAGCCCCAGGTCCCTCGAGGGTAACTCGGTTGCAAGTCGAAGGGGTGGGACAGGAAGCGCGAGGCGGGACCAGCCGGACCCAAACAGTTTGCGCATCGGGGCTGCAAGGGCGCCGCGCGGCCAAAGGACCCTCAACTCTCTCGCACGCGTGATCGGGTCGGCTGGCGGGGGTGGAGCGGGGGTGGGGTCGGGGGAGTCTCGCTGCAGGGACCCCCCTGTCGAAGCCGGAGCTGCTCCGCACCTTTCCTCTGCAAGTGCCCTTCGCGGAGGAGACCTCCCGGCAAGACTCGGAGGGCCCCACCAACGCTGGAGCGACGGGGCTGCCCTCCTCGCAGGCCGGTGCTCCCTCCTCTGTCTCCCAGCTGCCACTTACCGGGAATGCAGGGCGCGGCGGCACGAAGCTTCGTTCCGGCCCGGGCGTCTAGCCGGGCCAGCCTGCCTTCCCGGAGCAGCGCTCCCTGCACACAAACATCAGCGGCGGCTGGGCCGCCACCCCCACCCCCGCCCCCGCTTGGGCCAGCCCCCGGCGGAAGTGACGCACACTTTGCCGGCGTCCAGCCACTCCCGGCCTTAGCTGGGGCCCGCGCCTCCCTGTCAATCACCGCTGCTGCTCCTCCCCGAGACATGCGCAAAGAAGCAAGACTCCGGACAACGCTGGCGGGGACGTGGGTGCGTGCACGCGCGGGTGGAGCCCGGAGAGGCGTGGTTTGGTGGCCACCCCCGAGTGTGTGTTTTGCTTTGGGTGGTTTTTTTTTTTTTTTTTTGCTGGCCTCTGTGCCCTGTCAGCTGAGCTAAATTCCTAGGCGCGCGTCCCCTTGCAAGGATCGGGTCAGCTCCCTCGCCAGTCTGCGAAGCTGGGGCCTGCGTTCCTGGCTGCCCCTGAACGTGGTGGGAGGCGCGGGTCGTGTCGGCTGATGCTGCTGTCATCGTTCCGGGACGTGACCACCCGGACCACTCTCGAAGGTGCTATCACATAAATTATCATGTTGGATGTTAGCCCGGGAATTTAGCACTTGCCGACCCACAAAGGTCACATAATACTTAGGAAAAAAAAAAGTCTGTCGTTGCATGCACAGCTAGTCTGCAGGCGCCAAAGCCTGTTTTCTGTACGTAGTGAGCTGAGAATGGGGTCTAATTTTGTCTAATTTTTTCTTTGTTTAAAAGAAAAAATAAAGTTTAGGGGCCGGAGCGATAGTACAGCGGGCAGATCACTTACCTTGTACAAGACTGACCCCAATCAATCCCTGATACCCCATATGGTCCCCTGAGCCCCTCCAAGTGTGGCCCAAAACACTAACAATAACCAAAAAAGTTTAAAAATTAAAATGTTTTATTCGAGTACAACCAACCCTTTTCCTTTCCCTGTACCTTGTAAATTCCTGTCGCTCTTGAATTCACCTTGGGATTAAGTGGAAGTTAGTGATCTTTTCAATGTACTGTAGAGAGGGGTGTCATTTTAGGACTGACTCAGTTCCCTCTGACATATTCTCTCATGAGAAATGCTTTTGCCTTAGATCACATAAAGGGGCTGGAGTGATAGTACAGCGGGTAGGGCGTTTGCCTTGCACACGGCCGACCCGGGTTCGATTCCCAGCATCCGAGCACTGCCAGGAGTAATTCCTGAGTGCAAAGCCAGGAGTAACCCCTGTGCATCACCGGGTGTGACCCAAAAACAAACAATAAAAGATCACCATAAAGCCTTTGAAAGAATTGTATGAGCTACAAGACATAGTAGGTGTTAAACTGATATTTTCGATTTAAAAAAATTGTGCATTTGTAATTTAATGAATAAGTCAGTTTATTAAGCTCAACAGTTTCAAATGACTAGATTGTGTGCACCATAATCCAGTAAACTTAGTAAAGCTATGAAAAGCAGACACATTTTACTATAGGATAGCTAAAAGACATCCATAAAGCAAACTTGAGAAGAGTATGCAAGTAACTTCAGTTTTTGAGAGATCTCAAGAACGTCCCACAGTTAAAGAAAACATTGGGGAATGGGGCACACCTGGCTGTGCCCAGGGCTTACGTCTACTGCCTCTGTGCTCAAGGATCACTCCTGGAAATGCTCAGGGGTTCATATGAGGTGCCAGAATTAAATCCTGGTGGGCCATATGCAAGGCAAGCACCCTACCTACTGTATTATCTCTCCAGCCCAGAAAACATTACCTTACATCACTGTCACTGCCACTGTCCTCCCGTTCGTCGATTTGCTCGAGCGGGCCCAGTACCATCTTCATTGTGAGACTTGTTACTGTGTTCGGCATATCGAACACGTCACGGGGAGCTTGCCAGGCTTTGTTGTGCGGGTAAGATACTCTCCGTAGCTTGCTGGACTCTCCAAGAGGGGCAGAGGAATCGAACCCAGATCGCCTGGTTCGGCCACGTGCAAGGCAAACGCCCTACCCACTGTTGCTATCCTTACATATGTAAAAATAATAAGACTTGAGTCTGAATTTTCTGCCTTTGATGCCAAACTGCAATAAAACAGAGAGGTTGAACTCAGTTGTGAATAAGCCAGTTTGTACTTCATCCTGTTCCCTACTGAGATTTTTAGGTCTTTCCTCACCCATATTTCTGCTTCCACCAAATGTTTAAAAATGCTCTTTTGGGGGTTGGAGCGATAGCACAGCTGGTAGGGCGTTTGCCTTGTACGTGCCGACCCGGGTTCGATTCCCAGCATCCCATATGGTCCTCTGAGCATTGCCCGGAGTAATTCCTGAGTGCATGAGCCAGAAGTAACCCCTGTGCATCGCTGGGTGTGACTCAAAAAGCACATACACACACAAAAAGAAATGCTTTTTAGGGGCCAGAGAGATACAGTACAGTGGGTAGACCCAGGTTGGATCCCTGGCATCCCATATAGTCCCCCAAGCACTGCCAGGAATGATTCCTGAGTGCAGAAACCAGGAGTAATCCTTGAGTACTGCCAGGTGTGGCCCCCAAAACAAACAAAAAAACTCTATAATCCATGTTTAGGGTTGAACTAAAAGCCAATCATAACGAAAAAGAACAGAGAAAACATGTCTCAACTGTGATAATGTACTGATAGAAGGCTGGGCTTGCCAGTGCTGCTATCCTGAGTCTCACAATGTACAGATTGGAGTGTCTGATTCAGTTCACTGATGTCAGCAGAGCGCTGCATGACTGAATGCTCTTCTCCCAATGTTTACTGACCTTTTCTGCTTTGCCTACTATCTCCCACCCGTCCTTTTCTGCTTTGCCTACTATCTCCCACCCGTCCTTTTTGACCCCCAAGCCCCAGAAAGAGATTTGTGGGGATGAGTCCATGATCTCAGGTTGCAAACTCCTGAAAAAAACCTGTCTTTCTTTTTTGTTTGTTTGTTTTTGTGTTTGGGCCATATCCGGCATTGCTTAGAGGTTACTCCTGGTTCTGCACTCAGGAATTATTCCTGGCAGTGCTGCTGTACCATGGCTCTGGGCCCCAAGAACCTGTTTTTCTTGAAGTGATTCTTTTATCTTAAGTACTAGCCTTTTCTCAAACACTCTGACTTTGGATTCGGTAACTTGAATATGACAGAGACAGCCAAGATGGTCAATATGACGGAGACAACCAAGAGGGTCAGTGAATGGAAAATTACTAAGAGGGGGTGTAAATGGTAGGGGAGATTCTTGCCAATGCTTACTGAAGACCAAGCTAATCAGATATCATGACGGGAGATTCTCTCTTAACTAAATCAGCGTAACTCTTGCTGAAACCTGCCCATATAACCTAGATGGAGAAGGAACCAGAGAGGCCTAATTTAAGTTTGATTAAAGAGAAAGTTTTTGTTAGCATCCACTCTGCCCTTCTTTTCCTTGATTCCCGATATCAAGTATCTAGATTTCTTCCCATATCAAGGCCTCCTGTTTGCTGCCCTGCCCTTCCCCCCACGGCCATCCCTGATACCTTTAATCAGTCAGGATGTCTGAAGATTTTTACTGAAAATCTTCAAATCTTGCCTCTGTTGTGTGTTGTCATTCCCACTGCCCTTGATAGACTTTTATTTTCACAACTTAATCTGATCTGAACTAGTTTTCTAGCAAGTGACTGACCCTTGGCCCAGAGTCATTCTCTTACACCCAGCCAAAGCAAGTTCTTTTAAAGTGAAAGTTCACTCACGTGTTTTTTCTAAATCTTTTTTTTGGGGGGTGGGGTGGGGAGGAGAGGGGGATGGGTACTTCATTTCCAGAGAATAATGCACCCAGTACAATAGGCTCTGACGCTGCTAACTTTGCTGCCTTAATTTCACCTTACTCTACCCTCCAGCTATACCTACTGTTTCCCCAAATATCTGAAGACTTCATTCTGCACTTTGTATCTCCCTTTGGTGAATCCTCTTAAAGATTTGTCCTTCAAGGATTTGGAGCCTTAATACAGCAGGTAGGGTGCTTGCTCTGCTTGTTGCCTCCCTGGGTTCAATCCTTAGGTTTGATTCCCAGCTTTCCATATGGTTAGCAGAGCAAAGCAAGTAGTAATCCCTTAGCTCAGATTTAGGAATAAGCCTTGAACACTGCCAGGTGTGTCTCCCCACCAGAAAAACCCCCCAAAAAACAAAACATAAAACCCTACTTTTCATCTTTAAAACTGGTAATGACAACAGATATAAAATTTTCTTACCATATAATGCAGTTATCATATTTTGTGTAGTTACCCAAAGGAACTGAAAATACATGTAAACACAAAAACCTGAACACAAGTGTTCATGGCAGCTTTAGTCATGGTAGCAAAAATTTGAATGCAACCAAGTAGCCTTCAACAGATGAAAAAGTAAGACATCCATGATACATACAATGGGCTAATATTTAGCACAAAAGAGTAATGAGTTGTGATACCATGAAAAATCATAAAAAGTTATCACAATCACAATCATCCTGTTATTCATCGATTGTATAAATTATTATAAATCTATGAAAAGGGGAACTTACAATGCACATTACTAAGTCAAAGAAACCAACACAAAAAGGATACATGTGGTTTGATTACAATTATTTTGTGTTCTAGAAGGACAATTCTAAGAAAACAATAAAAATTCAGTGGTGACCAAAGGTTGGATTGGGAGAGATGAGTAGATAAGGCCAAAGGACTTTTAAGGCAGTGAACTACTATATATACTACTCTGATGAACTGTAGCACTGTCCTCCTATTGTTGTTCATTGATTTGCTCGAGCGGGCACCATAAACGTCTCCATTGTGAAACTTGTTATTGTTTTTGGCATATCGAATACGCCACCGGGAGCTTGCCAGGCTCTGCTGTGCAGGCGGGATACTCTGGTAGCTTGCCGGGCTCTCCGAGAGGAATGGAGGAATCGAACCCAGGTCAGGCTCATGCAAGGCAAACTCCCTACCTGCTGTGCTGTCACTCCAGCCAGTGTGGGGTTCTCCATCTTCACCCCTGGCCCCCAGTGGCTAGCCGCCGGGCTCTCTCATGCATCTCCTCCTTCTGATGAATGTATGTTATTATTCATTTATTAGACCTATAGAATGCTCAGCTCCAAAAGT